CACACACACACACACACACACACACACACACACACACACACACACACGGACAAATGTATAGAAAAAAATCCTATCTTATCTTTTTATTTTACCATCGAGCACAAATCTTACACGATACGTATATTTATCCGAATTTTCAATCGTATTATTTTATATTGCATTGCACACGAACGTCATCGTCGTGATTACCATCGACTTTTTGCGTAGACACTCAACAATAACAGCAATGTAATATTATTATTATTTCACGTAATTATAGGGCGAGCGCTTGTGCTATATATTACATTGTGTGTATGCTAATTCAATTATAGCAGTTGTATAAATCATTTCGGTAAAAACTGCAGCAGTCATCTTACGCGGTGCTGGACCTAGGCAGTTGAATGCAGAAAATAATTTCTGCTTATTTATTATATCATGTTTTAAGATTTAGACAATATATTGTAATAGTCGTGAAGTAGTACAAAACTCATATATAAGCATGTGTTCGTATTATGTATATATTTGATTTGTATATTTATGTATATTACATATGCCATATACATATTTATAACTATCAATGAGATAGTATGTCTGCCTTAAGGCGCTAATCATGTTGTCGGACCTCTAATTGTTGTGTACGTGTACACTAATGCATGATCGTTTTAAATGTTATAAAAATCCATTATTGGCATAGCTCACTGATCAGTGTTATTCCAATGTTTTACGGCAAAAATTATTATATCATCAAGAAATCAATAGGTTTCCGTTAATGCAACTTGTATTTACATTCTGCATTTACAGCTGTACTGGTGCTGTTTGACGCAAATATCTTAAAAAAAATTGATTGCATACTCATGACGAAATAGAAATAATAAATATCGATAAATAATATTTTTCTACTGCTGTAAATGTTAAATTTTATTTTTTGATCACAATATAAAATTACATGGAAATGTCCATACTTTTTTGCAGTTTCTATTATTTAACAATAAATATCAGGTTTAATCAAAGTCTGTAATATAATGGATAGGTATGCATACGTGTGTTTTTCAACCATGTATAAAGCACATGGTTTTAAAATATTTTACATTGTGGTTATACATTTGTATATCCTGAGACAATATTGTATAGTATGTATAAGTGACATCACCTACGTCTTCGTTTTCGTATACATTTAATTTAACTTAAAGTGACGTGTTTCAACTTATGTGAAATATTTTTCGAGATTTATTTATTATTATTATTACGTTGGACTGGAATAATCTTATTTCTCCAATGCGATTACTATAATATACTTAAGTTAAGAAGAAAGAAGTTTTGGCCCATATGTGCGTATGTACAATTCTAAAAAGACTGGAAGTACACGCTCACCCTCACATAGACTAGAGGGTTTACGAAACGAACGCTCATCTCAAGCAAACGATCTGCTAATTTCACCCTCTATCGCCTCGTGTTGTAATGCGATTTTCGTTGTTTATACACGTAACTCTGCCCCTACTCTACTCGAAAAAATATTATCGTAATTACTAACATACCTGTTGTCGTACACATATCGTTATATTTATACACCTTATATAACAGGGATGGGCAACTCAAAGTTACTAGAGGGTCAATTTTTAGAAAATTAAAACTAGTGGCCCAAAGCGTAGAAGACAAAACAAAAATTGTCATTTAAAATATGAATTTTAATTAGCATTTATATACACACGGAAATAATAAATTCAACACACAGGACAGTACGACACAAACGTTACGAAGAAACTGATATAGTTAAGTATTGCGGTACAAACAGCTATAGTTGAAAGCTTATTGCGTTTACATACATATGACATTTAGATATTTAACGATGTTTAATATCAGATAACAATTATTATAACAATAATATAGAGTATAGACGATAAATTAAAAATTGTATGATATAATTTGAAAATATAGCACGGACCGCCAGTTGTCCATCTCTGTTATATAATAAATGTGCTGAATCGCTTATTGTTTACACGTTTCATTTTGTTTGGTTAGTCGGTTATTTTTCTAGAGTTAAAAAATTATTATCTTCTATGCTTCAATCGAAACGATATTTCTCCATGATTACCTTTGTATTAATTTCATTCAACTTTATCTAGTCGAACATGTTACGAACGCAACGAAGGCTGCTATTTACCAAGGTTTTTTTTTTTAATATGCGCATATGTACATACTGCATAGAATTATTCGAAATATATTTGTAAGATCCTGAATGTAGCTAAATATATCTGTTTAACTAGAAATTATTTTAAATGTTATTTGGTCTGAAAACTTTGTTAAAATCAAAAACGTATAAAATAAAACGAATACGCTTACTTTTGTTACTAGTATAATAATTTAGAGCAACAAAACAAGTGAGATGTACACAAAACGATTATAAATTACTTTATATATATATATATCTATCGTGTATACTGTTGTATACTTTGGTCAGCCCTGCTGCCCGAACGACGTATATGAATTATAATAATTTAATCTGTTTAGTATTGTCTTAAAAAAAAACCTTTAATTGTAGGTTTTCATAGATAATAAACACTGGCACACATTCAAAAAAAAAAAAACGCCTAGTCGGCTGCCCATGAATCATAAAATATATTATATGAATATGAATGGACGTGAGGAGCTGTTATGTAGAGACAACGTGAATGGATTTTGACAACATATTGTAGGTCATATCATAAATACAAAACTCGATTTCTCTGTTGTCGTATATACAAACAAACTCGAGGCAAAACGTTTGTACGAAATTCACAAATTCAACTTTTAATCGCTTGTTGCATATATTGTTGATTATTGTTTGTACATACCGTAAATTTAAATAATATAATATTATAGTGTATATAGGTACTGTTTATGAAGAGCTTTTATTTAACGTATTTTATAACGAATTCGAAAAATAAATAAAATAATAAATTAATAAAATATAAATATAAAATTTTAGTTTGGATTCGCACACACCAAATTTTAAATACGGTCTGGCCTTAATTATATAATTATTTTAATATCCGTAATATTTATTTATTTTATGGAACAAATGTGTAATATTCTGTAAAACATTGAAATATCAAAATCTTGTCCATTTCCAGTAAAATGTCTTTAGAGCCCAACTGTTTCTCGAATAAAAATATACCCCCAGTTGTTCCCCGTAAAAAAGTAATTATAAGGGGTCAAATTATTTCTTCAAAGTTTGTGGATATTAAACAATTGATACCTTCGTATATTCAAACTAAATCAAAACCGGAAATTAATTTACTCGTGTCAATGGAGTACGCAAAAATTTGACAAGATAAACATGACTTGTATGAGAAAAGCGTAATCGAACAACTATTCATCAAGAAAAAAAAAAATTAAAACTGCCTACATTTCACTCGAAGTTTTCTTTGTCTGGAACATGTGGTAAATTAACTTCATTAGCAAAACAGTCGGAAAAAAAAATGAACATACAAAATTACATACAAAACCAAAATTTATTTGGAAATAATAATAAATAACAATCCATTTTTCAATAATATTTTAATTATTTTTTTGCTTATAAGTTCATATAATTATAATAAACTATGAGAATTTAATTGTTTATTAATTTAATTTTTAAGAACAATAAATATACATAAGTAGACTATTATTTATTTTTAGAATTTCTTTGTTTTTGGAAAATAAAATCTGAATATCGTTTACAAAAAATGTCTGTTGAAATAACAATAGTTAAGTGGAGGATCTGTGAATCGATCGTCTTACATATCTTTGCTATTTCCAGATAGAGTAATAATGGTGAGTGATTGTACTAGAAATGAGACATAATTTAAACTTTGAGAAAGTTATGATGATTATAGCTCATTTCTTTATTGTTATAATACTTAAAAATTAGAAAATTAAATTAATAATCACAACTGAAAAATAACCCAGAGCAAAAGTTAGCGTAAATATACATATATTAAATATATACTATTATAACTCATATGTAATTAATATATATAGAAGAAGGAACTATTTTAATCCTATTAAAAAAAAGATTCAAAATTAACATTTATTTTAAAATCATACCAACAGTAGCCTACATTTGATTCTTTGAAGTATAATTAAAGCATAAATAAATCTAAAATAATCTCTTGGCAGGTACTGAAGTACTTGAAGTTCAATTGAAATTAGTTTTTTTTAATATATTATTTTTAAAACTTAAAAACGTAATTAATTGTTTGACATTTTTGATATAACTTATGTAACATAATCTATTATGTAATAATTTTACTTTGATAATATTATTTATTATATTTTTATAAAATTGACTAATCGAGTAATTTTTATTTTTAGACATTAAATTTGAAACGACAGAGAACTAATGGAAATCGCAGACCATATTTAAGTACTCAATTGCCTGAAAACGTGATACCAGACAATCAAAATATAAGTAAGTAGATGATTCTTTTATTTATTATGCGCAGGATATTTGTATAAATTAAAGTATATTAAAGTGTAAACTTTATTTTTGACATATTATATTTTACGACATGCATATACACTCGTATTATAAGATTATAATTTGATTTTTTTTTTTTAATATTCACTCGAAAAAGCCTGCATTATAAATATTTCATCAAATAATATCAAGAATAAGTCTAGATTTGACTTCGCTTTTAGTTTTATGCTCAAGTTCTTTCGAAGAAAATAAATCGGTTAATGTCTATTTTTTTTGAAAAGGTTTCGATTTTATTTCTTTCAATAAGTTCGTCAAACCCGAACATTTTTTTAAAAAAAAAAAAAAGCTAAATGAACTAACCGCATTAACTATATTAATTATACGAACACTGAATAATCAATATCGCGACATAATCGACAGTGCATATAAAATTATGAATTATAACGCAGCACGTAGATAACGCGCTTTCGTCTGCAGTTGGGTGGGGTTAGTCGGTCGGGTGCTCCGTTCTCCGCCGACGCGCATGCGTATTACATAATTTAACATCGGGCTCGCGCCGTCGTTTCCAGATCCCGAATGCTCTTGCCTGCCGTACTTGTGCGTGTGCAACAACGACATCAGCGGCCGCTCGGATCCGGCCGTGGACGCGTCCTCCGCGTCCGGGCTCCAGCACCACCAGCTACCGCCGGCCGCGTACCCGAGCAACGGTGGCGAGCATCAACATCAGCAGGACTGGTCGGCCACCGCCGGTATGCACGGTTACCACGCGATGCACCACCAGCAGCAGCAGCCCGCGCGCATGGATACGTCCGAGTCGACGGCGGCGGCGGTGGTGGTGGACGACTTCACGACCGCGTTCACCGGCGGACCGCAACCCGCGTCCGCCGTTTACTGCCAACCGATGGCGCCGCCCGCGGTGGCCGACGACGTGCCCATGTTCCCGCTTATCGGGCAACGGCCACCACCGCCGCCCGCCCTGCCCATCGCCGGGGCCGCCGCTTACCACAAGAGCTCGCCGACCACCGTGTTGGACTTGGGCAGCGGCACCATACACAAGAGCGACGACGACGACGACCCCGGCTGGCCGCACTTCCACGCCGACTCGTCCGCCGCCGACTACCACAGCGACGTGCAACAGTCGCGCCGCCGTCCGCACTACGACCACCATCATCATCACCACCACCACCACCACCACCAGCCGACGCGCCACTACCACCAGAGCCAACAGTATTACGAGCCGAGCCGCGTGGACGGTGTCGACGGCGCGTATCATCACTACACCGCGGCCACCATCAAGACGGAGGACGTTGGCCATGACCAGGTTGACATGCTGCAGCCGCACGCGTACTCGGCCCCGCAACCCGTCGACTACTACGCGCACTTGCCGTCCTCGTCGTCGGACGCCGTCGTCGACGGTATGCACCACCACCATCAGCAGCACCACCACCACCACCACCACGACGACGGTTCCATGGACTTCATCGGCGACGCTCCTTCGCTGTCCGACACGCCATCCATGGTCGACTTCATGGTGCTCGATCCCAACAAGCTGTTGAACAACAACAATAACAATAACGTCATTAACAACAACAACAACAACAACAACAACAACAACAGCGGCAACGGTTATTACATGGACACGTATTACGGGACTGAAACCAGTGCGGCCACGGCTGCTTTCAACGAACTCCAGTTGAACGCCGCCGATATGCATTGGTCTCAAACCATTAATCAGTAGAAGACTTTTTGTTGGGGTTTTATATTCTGGTTAGGAAAAAAAAATATTCAATTTATAATCCAATTATGACTTATGGTGGTTCTCACCGCGTGTAAAATTTTCTGATGAATTCGATTTTAAGCAATACCGTATTTTTTCTTCTTTTAAGTCTCATGACGGTACGTCTATTATTATTATCTCTGCAACACGTGGATCGCGTTGGAGATGATTTATTTATTTGAACTTCATTTTTTTTTTTTTTTTCTTTTATTGACGTCGATTTAACATGACTATTATATATATTTTATCTTTAGAAACTAAGCGTAAAAACTATAGAATACCTATTTTTGTTTGAAAAATTGTTCGCAACGTGTGTCGAATTTGTTTTGAATTCCTGAGACGAACTTTGATACAGATCATTTCGTGGTTGTGATACGGCTGTCGGTTTATTTCTTTAACAGAAAGTTTACGTAAAAGCTTTGTAAACGTTACTACTGGCTTATGCTTGACGTTGGTTCAGGATCTAGTAAAATTTTTCTCTTCGTTACTTCAATTCCTACGTGTATTTACTGGTTAATTCACGGATCGGTCAATTTATACACGTGTGTTGAAGTGCGATAGTAAAATAAGTACGAACCTTTCGGACTCTATACAAATTAAACATATCTTTTTAAATTCGATTCCATAGCCTTTCAATAATATTTACGTACCTTTTTCTACTTCCAAATATTTCCAAAAATAGTACAATCAAATCATAGACTCCTCGCAATACGACAGCCGAATTCACGTACTGACGGAACAATGACACAGCATAATAAAAAATTTGTATGTAAAAATATATTTCCTTTTTCCCTCGAAATCCACACTGTCCTTGCTCGCGTCGCAAAAACTGTAATTATAATTTAATGCTTTTATGGCTATATGTATATAAACGAAAATTATCCACAGTTAAAATAATATGTTATATATATATATATATATATATACTAATATGTACTTATATATTATTTATATGTATAATCATATTGTTTTTATTTTCTAATTATAATATACATTTTGATATTGTTATGTATGACTGGTTAGTTTTTAAGATAGTTATAAGGTTAGTTTTAACCCGCGAGTAGCGTACAAATTTATATTAATTTATACATACAATAGCAGTATATAAATACATGTATAAATACTCCAACCGTGTATATAATATTTCAGACTCGAGTTACTTATAAATTTTCAATTAAAACAAAACCATCGTTTTAGTTTAAAAATTTAATAGTTTCTTAAATCTACGGAGGAAAAACCCGTATTGAATCAAGATAGTATAAAATATTTGAATCACCTATAGTCAATCATATTTAGCTGTAAATCTTTAATTTTTATTTAATCTCTCTATCCCATTGTATTCTTATTTATTAGTAATCAAAAAATTCATGTACAATATAAGTGCACCTATGTCATCTTATTCGAATTAAAAATTGTCCATAATATAATATATTGTAGAACGCTTGCGTTCATGTATCCATGTATTTAATTTAGACAGTTTACAACACAATTATATCTGATTAATACTACAAAAAAAAAGTATATACCTATTGTTTATATGTTTTATTGTGTGCATGCATATTTGTGTATATTTTTATAATTACATTCATCATACCTAGAACCACTCAGTTTTTTATATGTTTTATATTTTTCCTGCTTCCATGATTATAAATCTTTTCATGTGATCTCAGAAGTGAAATACAAATTATTTCGCAGATGTTTTGTATTATGTAGTAGACGACGATTTTCTAGCAATAAAACTATTATGATTATAAAATATTATGTATAAATAAACAAAAATAAAAAAATTATGATTACTTGGATAAAATTATAAAAAAATATTTATGGACATTTTGGCTCTTGATGTCAAAGTATTTATCCATGTGGCTCGTAAAAATATTCGTGTTGGCCACCCCTGACATAGTATCCGGAAAAAAAGTACTGAAAACAAAAAAATATCCGATTGCGTACAGGTATATATTACGTAAGAAAAAAAAAACTAAAACAATATTTAATAATAAGTATTATAAATTCAAATTAGTTTTAAACAATATTTTTTACTATTAATATTTACTTTTTTACTTTTATAATATAGTACTTTTTTTTTTCCTAATATCCCCAAAATATAGGTACATCAGCGGCTTGATGAGGTTTTATTTAAAACGACTTCATGATCGTAATGATGGGTTGGTAAGTGTTTTACAAACTAATATAATTAGTATATATATCTTATCGCCCTATGTGCCAATGGGCAAGAACAAAATTTGGTGGTAAATGATATTTGTAACTGTTTCGTTGAAAATGATTTAATATTTCATATAATTTTCCCGAAAAGTAGCGTAATATATTAAACACACATTTACGACTGACTTGGTTGACTTATTAACGATGAATTAAATATTATAATACTACTCGTATAAATAGAATACGTTTTTGAAACACAACACCGTACAACTGTATCTTGTGCTGCAGCAATAATGATTAATTATAGTAAATCAATCAAATAATTGGACTTAGATGAATCTAAATAAAAAAAATAATCTAAAAAATGTTTACGGTCTAGAATTGTGTGTGCGACGGAACGACAATTATTTCTTTCGACATGAAAATAAATCTTAATAATACATATAAATTATTTGAGTGTGTAATTACGCGTATAAAAGACACGAAAATATGGTACGTAATTGAAACACAAACGATGAGTTATTAGTTCACGTGATAAAGTAATAAAAATTAAATAAATATAATACAGATATCGCCGGATATCCGTGCCCACTACGGTGATAGTATTTCACATTATTATTTACTTAAGTGATCACGGTTTACATCTTTTGTGCCAATTCGATAATATTACACTTAAGTCCGGTATAGATTTAAAGATGAACATCGATGATCCGCCCGAGTCTTTCTAATTTGATAACGACGTATACAGATATTCTGGCAGTACGATATTTAATAAAACAGGTGTTAATCTATAAACTATGTTATTATATTACTTTATACTACGACCTACGCTGGACGTTTTCAATTATTCCATAAATATAAATAACCACACTATCACTTCCGCGATTTTCGATAGCCGCGATAGTGATGGGTTTTGAATAATAATTATAGAAATCATTTTTAAGTCTTTTTACTTATAGTTTTATACAAAAATAAAAAATTAAAAATTTTTTTTATAGATATGTCACATACAATATAGGGGGAGAGGCTAAGTTAAAATAAGAGCTCAATTTTTTTTTTTTTAAAGGCGGAAAAATTTGATTTTGCCTAGTGCACTATTTTTGCTTGGGCCGGCCTTGTAAGTGAGATACAGATTCGTAATGTTAAGTCTCTTGTGATCAAAATCTAGGAAAACTGTTAGATCTAATAATTATTTATTATTTCTTTATAGTATTAATGATAATAATATTCTAATACTCAAGAAAAGTAAAAAGAAGAATGTTAGTTTATTAATACTATGATACCTGGTATCATATCTGGCATTATTGGTTTCTGCAAGTTCTGATATATAATTAAAAGCAACTCCTAGTAAACTTGAATCCAAATTATTATTTTAATTCTCAACCGATATTTGTTCCGTAATTATTTCATATTCGAAAATATTGACTCACGTAATCAAGTTAAATGTAAAAATGAAGTTTTAGGGAGAGCAATACTTCGTAGATTTGGGTATTTTTGATTTGCATGTTTTAAAACTCCGAGATAATCTTAAGTACGGAATTTGAGTTATGACTAACAATAGTGAACCGACTATCACCCAATGTTGATCAATAATGATAAATTCCTGCAATATAGCAATCCTCATTATCCAATTATTTATAACGCGATCGACAGATGTTGAAAAAATTATTTTTTATTACGACGACCTATATTTCTAGAAAGATTGACTGGTTGGCCACCCCTGTTTAATCAGTAAAAGACAAAAATGCAAGTTTCACCTGAATTATAATACCTAATTAAAATATTAATAGAAAAATAATAGTCGAAGTATTTATATGAAATAAGAAAACTATATATTATTGTTAGTGTATTACGAGTGCATGTGCTACGGATGTACATTGTATTAATATAGTTAAAAAAATACAATACACACAACTTATTAATGAATTAATTATGATACCGTCGTAAGTACTACATGAAATTGTAACCTGTAGACGTATTTTTTTCTGATAACATGTCCTCTATTTTCCAAATAGTTTATCACTTATGTCCTTGAGCCGTAAAGATATGCAAATGTACACATTTTCAAAAATGTCCGTACCAAGTGGAAATAAATTGAAATAATTTTTTGTTTAATATACTGATCATTTTAATTAATAATGATTTTTGTACATGTAAATTAACGTAGTATAAATAAATACAAATAAATACTGCTGTTAATTTTGAATAATTTTAATTGTTCAAAAGTCGTTCGTACTTTAACGTGAGGTTAAATACAGTGACGGTGTATAAAACGGGGAAAAAAGTGAAACTCACGACCACGATTCCATCAGCGATGAAAAAAATGCCCTGATATTCTGATATCTAATTAGTAACAAATTGTTCACAATAAGTACGTTATTTATTACTCTTAGCTCAGTTTAAACTTATTGTAATGGGCTGAGCATGTATGGTGCGCAAAAGGAAGTCTCTTAAAGAGAGTTTTCATTAAAAAGTTAATTTGAGAAGACCACGCCAGAGGGTGGGTGGTCACGGTGAATAGAGACATAACAAGTATAGGTCCTACGTATAGCATTAATTTAGTATCGAATAGGAATCAGTGTAGAGAAATTCTAGTAACGGTAAAATACCTTAATGGTCTGTCCTGAGCCTGAGAAGAAGAAGAAGATTAAATTTTGTCACGTTTATTTAGACTAGTCGTATACTTTTTTTATGTAGACTTTCATATTATTTTTCCATACTTAATTTTTGGTTTTGTACTAAACCAAATTATATTTTAATACGAATTAAATTAAACGGTATTGGCATTAGTACCTTTTGTATTAAATTTAATTTAATAGCTATATCAGTAACGTGGATATAGCACGTTTTGATGTAAAACGGAAATAACACGTTACGAATAAAACAAAATGAATTTACTACGTTTTGAAAAAATACGAAAAAAAAGTCCTATGATTTAGTACAGGAAACAGCACGTTTTAAAAGAAAATGCATATAGAACGTTTTGGAAAAAAAAAATGTATTGGAAATCTCACGTTTTGAGTACAATAAGTATAAGAATTTAAACTTGATTTTAGTTGGGACATGGTAGATGGTTTCGACAACAAATAACGGCTTGAATCGATTTCTCGCCATTTTCTCCGCGAGAACGATCGGTGTGCTACCGAATTTCATTGGGAACGGAGATTACGCGTTTCGCCCGGAAACCACTCCGTTGCCGGGGCCGAGTTCACGTAGGCGCAACTAGGGGGGCGCAATAGGGTATTTAGTACTCCTGAGTTCAAATGTAACATTTCTGTCTTTGTCTTCAGATCTATATAATCTATGGTAATTGCAGTTAAATACCATTTAATTTTATTTTCAGCAATTTCAGCGCCCTCCAATATTTGGGCTCTAGTTGCGTCCGTGCGAGTTCACATGGACCCGTGAAAAACGGTAGCTTGGAATAAAGATTTTCGCGCGGATCTCCAGTGAGCCCGTGGTGCCCGGAAGCCAAACGCAGCGGGGATCATTATATTCCGCCCACGAATCCGAATCGCGGAGCTGCGATCGTAGTTTGCGTCCGAAAAAATACGCGTCCGTCACGACAAAACGTTGTATTATGACCGCAATCTTCGCTGCCGGAAAATAAACCATCCGGTCAAAAATCCCGTTAACTCCATCCGTCAGCACGTTCGGACGCACATTATTTATTCGACCCTAAGCAAACACGCGCTCGCCCGCGTACGTACCCACCGTGTTAATTGTAAGGAATCGCGCGTTTATGCCGATTTCGAATATTAAGGAAGTCGTGATTTCACCGTCGTACACCGACGCTCATTAGCGGCCACCTGGGTTTTCGTAAATCTGAAACGCATTATTTATTGCTATTTATTTTTGCTCCCTTTTTCCCCCGCACAACGGTTTACCGATACAAAATCACGACGATTCCGCCTGTGTCTACACCATGTCAACAACGATTCCTGGCTATCAGTCATCACACGCTGTTTGACGCGCACCCATTTAAATCCAACACAATCGTCGTACGTACGCGCACGGGTTCATTATAGTACACTGGCTTACATCCGGTGTTTAAAATCGACTACGATTTCACTAAATCCACACAACGGTCTATTGTATTTGATCGGCAATGGCATTTTGCATTCCGAAAAATGTTCGACTGCGACGACGGGCAACTAATGAAAAATCTTGTATTTTAGTTGTAAAACTAAACATGTTTTTGTATACATTTTTAACACCAAAAAATAAGTAGATTCTTGTGGTTATCGTCGAGTATTATTTGAATTTGAATACTCAAATACTTACGAGATAAAGTATAGTCTTCCGTTAAAATAAGATCGACTTACAACATTTTCGAGTATTAAGTCCACTAATCAAAATTTTAATCAAACTTTATAATCGATTACATTTAAAAATATATATATATATATATAATTGCAGGTGTATACCGATAATCATTAAAATGTCATTAAAATATTTCAATGATTATAAAGTATCTACAAAATGCTAAATATTTTGTTTCTTTTCGAATAATATAAATATCTAGAGTCGTGTTTGTACAAGAACAAATAGGACATTTGCCCTGGACCCACCAATAACAGGCAAATGAAACTAGTCACATAAATATTTAATATAATTTTGAAGAAACCAAATAATAATAATAATTACTAATTATTATATTAATCTTATACGATTTTATATTTTAGACAGTAGTTCATCGATAATCATGGTATAATTGTATAAATACCAATAATACTATCTTCGAAAATTAAATATTCTTAGAAATAGAAAAATATACGACCCAGAAATGTATGCTATAGTGACTAATGGCACATTATTATTATTTATAAAATTATTATAAAATAACAAAATAATACACATTAAATATTTCCGTAAAATATTTAAAAATTGTCAAGATTCTCTTCATTTAATATCTACTACAATTTTTTTGGTTTTAAAAATGTATTATTTTTTACAACTTTTGAGGGCCCCTGGAATTCGAAGATATAAGAAAAGTTTTTTATCTAAACTGTTAACAAAGCGGATTTTTAATTTTCAATACATACAACTTTAAAATGAATACTTTATTTTTAAAATTCTGTGTTATTATTGTATTAATTTATATCAGTCTCAAAGCTGTTTTGGTCTGTGCCAAAGCATTGTTTTTTTTTTATTTATTAGTATATGTTGTTTTAGCCATTTTATCATTATTATTTTTTTGTAAGAATATATTATTTTCATACATTGTGTTCGGTGGCGCAAATAAAAAAAAAAATTAACGGGAGTTCAAGCGTCCAGCAGTTTTTTTTAATTAAATGTACATTATTTAATAGTATTTGTATTTCTATAATTCGGTTTAAAGTGCTGTAGATAATTTATGCATATTATTACATAATCATACTTATAAATATTTTTTCAGTAAATAAATAAATAAATACATTTTATCCCCAATAATAATAATCAGAGTTAGGATGTTGATGACCTTTAAATCAACATAAAAATGTCCTAAAAAAGCTAAAATGCTCTAAATACACTAACAAATGAATATCAAAAATGACCAAAAAATCTGCTTAAATAAGTGATAAAAATTGAAAATTAAAAATAATTATTATTATTGAAGATATAGGTATGATAATGGGTGTTAGAGTACCTTCTTAAGTTTATTTCAAAAATGTATAACACTAAAATAAATAAATTGATAATTTGTATTTTTTCTAATTTTCATTGAATAAAGGTATTATTGTGCCTTAATTCAATCTTCTTATAATTAATTCAATTTCCCAAAGTTTTTTTTTTAAATTTTCGGAAGACAAAATTTTATAATTTGATTTCTTACAATATAACCCAGTTTATAATTGATTTTGTTAATTTTGTATAATTAACTAGGGCAACAGTTTATTGAAAGGGACGGCAAAACACTTAGAGCACCGGCCCTGCATGAACTGTTTATTGTTATATTAATGTTTTTTAATTATTAAAGTATTAACCATTTACTAATTTTTGTTTTATTTGTTATTATATTATTATTTATTATATACATTTAGAAATCTTCTAATATTCGTAACAGTGTCTCTTTTCCAAACATGATGTAGACTATATTTTGTAATTTTATTTCATAACTCGAATGCAAGTTTATCAAATGATTATATCATAATGATTACCGATTTCGTAGAACACGGTCCGGATTAGCGAACAATATTACCCCGAAACGCACATCATAAGCTCAAGCCGTTTGTCACCCGTTAGCGTCGTAATGAACGAAGGGGGCAACGCGTCGTGCAATAATTATCAGTTATAGAATATTACATTCCTTTCATAATAATATTTAATGTTAGAACGGTCGGCAAAAGTAATCGTCGTATTGTAATATTTATCGTACGATGGACGACGGAAATTGAACGCGAAATCTAATCGACGTATATTTTTTATTAATTTTTTTTTTTTTTTTTTTAATTCGTCGTGAACAATAAAACGTAATAAAACGATAGTAGTAAATGTTTACTAAAATATTTACTCACTTGGCCGACAACGCGTCATATTCGCGCGCAACTTTTACGGAACGCCGTATCGTCTCTGTGTGGAATTCGTACACAGTCACCGGTCGTTAACGTAGACGGTTGGACAATTTGTGGGCTACACGCACATGTCGACTGGTCGTCCGACTGCGTTGACGAGTCGGACGAAAGAAAATTTGTTTCCGCGGACTAAAAATATACGTTCCACTACTTCACTAGTGTTTGCCCGGTGCCCGTTCGATAACTAGTACGTTTACTAAATTATCGTTATCGTGTGGAACGCTAGCGGTATCGTGGGCTTTTTCAGCTCCGGAACACGCCACGGAATCGGATGTAGCAAAACGTTCAATTTGTCTTCAGCCTCGTTTACATTTCGTATAACCATTACTATCGCACCGGCCGACTATTAAGCTTCTAAAATAGCCAACTGGCAGCTTGTTAACTCGCTCAATGTAAACGAGGCTTTCCCAATTACTATATTTTTTCGTTCCGATCCGCGTGGAAAGCGTTATCGGACAAACCGATTCGATCGGCCGTTTAGATACGTTCAGGTATAGTTTATATTTTATTATACGAATGTAATAAAAACAATATTTCGTCGAGCGTACGTACGTGTATTGCATACAAATTATCAACGCTTGTGCTTTTCTGCGCACTACTTACGTAATACTACTGTGTCGTTGGACGCGGTGCGCGTGTGTAGGCAATCAAAACGCCTCCCCTTATGTGTTTTTATTTTAAAAATATTATGATTATTATTAGCTAGATATTATTTTCAATCATTGGTTCGATTAATATAAAAGGCGTTGAATCGTTTGTAAATAAAAAATACAACATCGACCGTTGTAATATTATACATAAAATGCAAATTTATCATTATTGCCTCTCTCAGGAATTGCGCCCGAGGCCTAGGCACCTCACGCTTTCCCTTGCTATGGTTCTGTTTGTATGCTCTTGGAAAACGCTTCGAAACAGATCGAATGAGAAACTCTAGAACAATCGAAGACCTCGGGTGGAGTTAATCAACTGGACCTATTATTATCATATTTCAACTAATAAATGTTTTCAGTTAATAGTGCTCGATTCATTTTTTTCTTACTTTTTGTACAACAATGTTTTATACGAATACACAAATAAAAATAAAAACATTAAAATTTAATATTAGGTTTCTATTTTCCCTTTATTTATAACTTAAACTTAATTCACTGTTAACATAGTTTATGACCTTTTTATAACTAACTAAATGGTAAAAGTCTATTATTTAATAATAAATAATTGATTGGAAACATAACAAAATAATACTTATGTTTTAAGAACTATAAAATGAATAATTTGTTCAGTTCCGTAAAACGTTTTCCAGTGTTATCAACAGGCACATAGCTAAAGGAGGGCTAGGGTGTGCCTGGCCCACCCTAATATGTGTCCAGCCTTAGGCCGGACACCTAAAGTATTGAGAGGGGCTCATTATTATATGATTACTTTTAATTTTTACCAAATTTTCAATATTGCCTAAATACGACGCTAATAAAACCAAATACATCGGGTTTTAATTATAATCTAAGTAATGTAACTTGTAACTAAATTTAAACGATCGATTAGGAAATAATTGCTATTTATAGCTAAATACCGGTACTATACTACAATGTCAAGTTGTTTTTATCATATCTAGACAGTGACTACTGTATACTTGTATGTCTATTTTTAAAATACTTTGAGCGAAGGTATTGTCATTATATTGATTCATATAGAAATATGGAATTATATTATGGTCTCCGATTGGGCCCTTACATTCACATTAAACGCACGCCGCACGCTTACGTCACCTGCGTTAATATTTATACAATTTAAAGTATTTATACATTTTATCTTATATATATTTAATATTTAAATTAATTTTAAAATGGCACCTCTCAGTGGATGTGTTAAAATAAAACTAGACTTACAAAGAGAAGAGCAAAATGATAAAATATGGTATTATTAGGTTATATACATATATATTTGTAGTAATTATATGCTGATAACTACCTTTTTATAATATAAAAAAGTTCTGGGAGGAGGGGGCCCACCTAACATTGGCCCATCTAGTGAATATTTTCTGACTACGTGCCTGGTTGTCAATGATTAGTTATCGAATCAGGTTCAATACTTATTAATATTAGTGATTCTAGTAATTATTGGCAATTTTTTATTCTTAAATGGTTTTTGATTAGTTTTAATAAAACTCTTTCACAATATACTTGAGTATAGAATAGAGCAGTGTTTCCCAACTTCTTTTACCCGCGGAACCTTTGCAGGAGCTTAAACGTTTTGTGAAACCTCAATATTTTTTCTATAATATTAATACAGACATATTGTATTGTATGTATATATGTATATATGTATTGTACACTTAAATGAGTGGGTTATCGGAAACTTCCGGCACAAGAGTGTCATTAATATAAAAAAAACAAGACGGCTTTAACATTTTATTTTGTTTGTTATCTACTATTACAATATTATAAATGTACCTACATATCAAAGCTTAAAATGCAATATTTGACTCTCATTACTTCGAAGATAGATTCAATGACAATCATTCCATAGTGTTTTTTTCACAACTGTTTTTAAATCTGGAGTTATTCCTGAAAGTTGGATTTGTAAATCCGGAGCCGCATTTACTTGATTTCGAAACTTAGTCTTTGTATACGCCGAAAAGCTACAAACTACGAACCTCACATCGGGAAATGTTTCAATTCCAGTTCTATGTTGAATTCTATGTTCAAATCATAGTTCAAATTAAAATTAATTTATATTTTCCCAAATTTCTCACGGAACCCTTCGCGCAAACTCACGGAACCCTTAGGTTCCGCGGAACACTAGTTGGGAAACACTGGAATAGAGTAATGATTAAAAGAATTATGGTTGAAATGTTATTGTTTATTGAAACCAAGGTGAAAATGATACCAGATCATCTCCGAAACGTTGAAGTTGTGGTAGAATTTCCATTGCGAAGGCGTAAAAGTATGAAAATAATGCCTGGAGAAAAATCAATTGCTGAACTTAGAAATATAGATAAGAATTCGAAATACAGAGTTCACATGTTTCGTGTTATAATTGATAATATATTAGAAGTAGAAAGTCATAGTTTTACAAATAACTCTAATTTAAGTTTTTCATCATTTCTCTTTCCTGGGCAAAAATATTTTTAAAATTTAGAGGAATGTATAAAATAGTACGGAAACAACATGGATACAATAATTAGAATTTCTTCTTACAGTTTCATGTACAAAGTAGCATTGCATTTTATTTACAATTTGTTACATCGTTCTTGATGAATCTGAGAAATCTAGTGATATACAAAAATTGTAAAAATAAATACTAAAACATATAGTAAATAAACTATTTTATATATTTTTACCTATTTAGTAAACATTATTGATATTTTTTATCAAATTATTTTGAATCAGTTCATCTAAACACATCTAAAACTTTAATTTTAACCACTCCAAAAATTTTAATTATTGTATTATTATCCATGTTGTTTTCATACTGTTCTATTCGTTAAATTTTCAAAATATTCATGTCTATGAGAGAGTAATGATAATGAAAAAAATAAACTTAAATTACAGTTATTTGTAAAACGATTCTAATATATTATTCATTATAATACGAAAGTATGAAATTTGTATTTCGAATATTTATTTAGATTTCTAAGTTAACAATTGTTTTTTCTCCAAGCATCATTTTTATACATTTGCGCCTTTGCAATGGAAATTATACTTCAACTTTAACGTTTTGGAGATGATCTGGTATTATTTTCGCCTTGGCTTCAATAAACAATGACACTTCAAATAATATTAATTTAAAGTTAATGCTATAAATTAATTCTATCCAGAGGCGTACTCAAGGGAGTGGATTTCGGGTCCAGACCCCCCCTCCATTGAAATTTTAATGTTAACATATTTTACATGATACAAATTAAATTTAATAAAACTTAAAATAAAATAGTATTAATATTTATTTATTTTGAAATTTATAGCATTAGTTATTTGCTATCGTATTTATCATATTAATCATAATTAATATTATACATTTTGTCTGTTGTGGCCTTTAACCCGAAGATTGTATAACTTTTAAGATAACTACGGACTAGCAAAAATATTTTAAAATATTAACAATTTATTTTAAATTATGATTTAAAATGAATGAAAGAAAATAGAAATATAACAGAACTAAACTAGTAACAACGTACAGTACTATATTGATATTTTAGGGCATTAAAATCCCAGCCCTAGTTATAACTTATCATTTATTTTATATTTTATAGTATTCTGGTTAACTATTATCATGGGTGCCCATAAGTGAAACTTTAAAAAGGAGCCAATTTTGTTTTTCAAATTATGAGCTATATATTATCAAAAAGGTAACACTTATTCAATTTTATGTTAATATTATTTTTCTAGAGAAGGGAGGGGGGCAAGTGCACAATTCTGCTTTCCCCAATGATCGCCCTTTACTATGATTATATTTAGAGAATAAAGTAATTAAAATTGTTTGACCTCTCCCCCTTAAATAATTTCTAGTTACGCTACTGATTCTATCTGAAGATTAATTGATATAATATAATATAAGATTAATTGTATTAGATTATTTTGAAACGTTGTAATGTGTATCCAAGTTATTAAATAATTTAGCCCTTTCGTTAGCAAATACTCTCAACGTTACTGTGAAAACGAATCAAACTCTCCTACTCTCATTTCAAACGTAGGTGTATATTTTAACGTATGAACCGTTCGTTTCCGACTTACGTAGACATGACTTAGGTGGAGCAGTGGTGTTCAAAAGCGGATTTTCCATTAAGTACTGTAGGCAGCTGTCTAGGGCGACAAATTTTGTAGTGATTTATTTAAAAAAATTAAACGTGTGAAAAAAAAATTGAAAAATTAGTTACTTTATATTTACGAAAAACAATAATTGAATAATAATATGTGCATTTCGTTCATATTTTTATATTTTTGTCATAGTGTATCTATTTTGGTTCGCTAAAATTTATAGTAATTATAAATAAAAACAACTGTACAGAAAACAGTTTTTAATAATACTATATTAAACACGTTGGTATAGTCTGCCCGGAACCCGCGTTGCCACGTTAAAAATACGTACGGTCTTATACTCGTATTATATCAAGCAACAATGGTTATTATTAATAACTTATTAATATCAATTTTATTGGATATCGTTGTCGTCGGAATATCGGGGGGACAATAAGTACCCACACTGCCACACTATATTACCAATTCGACTGTATATCAATAATCCTATGCTGTTATTATGAATATCTGTTTTTGTTAACATTTAGTGGACATCCATTGACATTTTTTTCAAATTCGACTAATTAAATAAAAGCGAAAAAAATTGTTTAAAAAATGTAAATGGATGTAGGTACAAAATATGTACCTACCTACGTACATTTGAACATACATCCACTAGACGTATCATGTCTATATGTTTAATATTTAGGTTAGGTATTTTGGAAGGGGTAATAAAACTTCTTCGCTTAATATAGGGCCGGCAAACTGTCGGTGCCTATAGCCGTGAAAAAAATAAATCCACCTCTGGACGTGTTTTGTAATAAAATTGCGTGTAAAATTACGGAGGTGTTGCGTTGTGAAACACGAACGCGTCCAGATACGTTTCTCATACGCGCCGTCGCCGTGTACGCAATCGTGGTTTTCCATTTCGGCTAATATGTCAGAAACGTATTACGTGCAGTGTGCACGCGCCTCGCCGCGCGGTATAATTAATTAATATTTAAATATTTTTGTGTACCTATATTCAGTGTCGTCAGCGTACGGCGTTCGTCATCTTTTTGTCCCCGGAGTTTTAACGGCTGTCGGCTCTTCACCGTCAACGACTTAAGTCTTTCCGAACGACTGATATCCACAACGGACTAAAAACAAATTTCATAAGCTATAATAATAATAAACTTAGTTTATTAAAGCAGCAATAGAGTTTACAGTAGGTTGATTTAACATTTTTTTTTTTCTGTTTCGTCTACCACTAAGGTAAACCTTTTGCCGATAGGCGAGAGTCGAAGTATTATAATATAAATATAACTATAACATAAAAAAATTTTATAAGTAATAGTTATCTAAATAAATACTGTGTATAAAAATTTCTTATTGAATTCTCATTAAGAAATGTATAATAATTTTAATAATGTTGTAATTTTAATAATATTTAATATATATATATTGTGTATTATGTTATAATAATGTTATTAATTAAAATTGTGAGTCAAAAATATGAAATATATAAATAATGATTTTTTGGTAATAAAAGAAAGGTAAGGTAGGAAAAGTAAGGAAAGGCACATAGTTTTTTTTTTTATTGTATTAAGAATTAATTTAATATTTATTTTTAATTTTACCAACAGTTTCATACATTTTCTTGTATCAGTAATTAATTTTACTCAATTTTAAATATAATTGAAATATCATTAAATGTATTTTTACATTGTTTGTTAAAAAAGTTTTATTGTATATTATTATTTTTTTCCTGAGAAGTTTTAAATTATTTAACTTAACATTCATTTGTATAAAAAAATGTAGGTGGATAACTGAATAATACATTATGTTTTTTAAAATTTATTTTAGATAAGGATTACCATTTAATAAAATGAGATTGAATCAGATATTATATTGAATACTCAATCATTTGCAATAAATGGTATTAATAATTAATTTAATTTTAATTTTATTAGCAATTCCATACATTTTCCTACCTACATTAGTAATTACCAGGGCTAGGATTTTTATGCAATAAAAAATTGTAAAATATGCATTTTATTTACCAAAATATGCAAAAATATGCATTTACATTTTTGTAAGATAAACACAAAAATATAGTTATAAAAAAATATTTATTTATTAAAATATATCAGTGATTGACTAAGGATTTCTAAAGAAAAATATATTATATTCTATATTATAAATATGAACCGGAAAATCACTTCCTACTGAATTTCATCGTCCAATAGGGAAAAAACTAATTTTTACACCATAGCTATATGATTTATTAGTTTATTGTCGTAAATATGTGTATCTAATTTTTATACAGATAAATTTTAATTTTTAATAATTTACGTAATTCTTGTTCCAAATTAATATAATTAAAAATATTAAATTATGAATTGAAGTAAGTTGTGCAGAAAATTTAATTATATTTCTCCTACTTATACTGCATACACTATAGGTAAATATATAATATTTTTATTATATATTTTATATAATAATATAATATAGAGTTTTTTCTACAGAAATTAACTTGCATTTTAAATTATTTAAATCATTAACAATTCCAAATTAACATTATTTAAAATAAAAAATTAAAAATTAACATCATTAATAGTTTAAACAAAACACGTTAGAAAAACAGTTTTAAAAATTTATCCGATAATCATTTGTCAGTAATTTTTTCTTGATATAAAACTCTCTTTAATCAAAATGCATTAATAATACTGGTAAACTAAAATATTACAACCAGCAGCACAGTGAACTTTGATTGCAAATTTAGACATAATACACATTTTTGGTGCTAATACACTTTTGACTATTGGGATGCTTCGGCTAGAGTTAAATATGTATATAAATTTACGTAATTGTTTATTAGACAAATTGTGCACTTTAAAAACATCAATATCTGTAGTTCTTGTTTTGTATTTGGAATTTCTAAGCTTGATTACCATCTATTAGTTGAAAAAATCAACAGATATTATAAAACACAGTAACCGTTTATTATAATCAACTTTGTTTTATTTTAATGTATATGTTTATTTTTCTAAACCAAAGAAGGAAATTTATGCACTAGAAGTTCAAATACAATATAATAGTGAACTAAAAAACAGTTTACATATTTTTTTGTTAAAATAACATAAATTGTTGTTTAATAAGCTTTAACAACAATTTAATACATTTAATTATATTGTAACTGTTTTAGAAAGTCATACAATTTTTAACTTAATGTTTATTTTATCAATATTTTCATAAATTGTATATGCAATTTAAATGTAAATCATAAAATTTTAATAATTAAAACCATTGTAATAATAATTCTTTGTTACTAAATAAGAATTTTATTTGTTGTTATAGCTTACACAATAAACTCATTTCCCATAAACATAAAATAGCTTAAATTATAATTTATTCAGATTATGCTTTAAATACATTCATTATAAAAGTAAGAATTTTAATTAGTACTTTTAACAAGTTGATATAACAAATAATTAATAACATAAAATAATACATAATAATAGTTTGAAAATGTATTTTATATTGCTATTCTAAATACTTTTTAGAAATAAGCATATAAAAAAAAAAAAAAATGGATAAATATTAAACAATCATAATAATAGTATTGATTATAAATAATATTGATTATTTATATTTAATGATAATAGTAATAAAAATAAATTAATAATCAAATGGACCAGTCTTATAAATTTAAATTAATATAAAAGTTGGTGGTAACATTGTCCAAAACAAATTTTTTATTTGATATTATGAAGAGTGGAAATCATTATAGTCTTGTGTTTTATCCTCTGAAAGTGATGGATCTGAAGAAGAATGCTGAATTACTTTTATTTTTGAATCATCTGAACTACTTGTATCTTCAACATAAACATCTTTGGATAATCTTGGAGGTATATTAAGTGAAGATTCCAACGATGAATTAGAAGATGTAAATTTAGAAGATTGCAGTTTTAATCTGAAATTTATCAAATATATTGTGTGTATAAAAATAATTTTATTTAAAATAACCGCATATAGATCATATTATAATGTAATGTAAATTATATAGAATGGTTCATTCAAATATTTAATGAAATATATTTTACTTTGATGTATGTAATAATTTCTGAAAAAGAAAATGGTAATAAATATTTAAATAAATAATAGATTAACTACAAATGATGATCAATACAATTAAATTATTTTATTAGGTGGTAATATATTTTGTAATGTATTTGATGTGGTAAGAATCTATTAAAAAAATAAAATAATTATTTATATAGCAAGATTTTAAATAATTTTTAATATTTAATAATATCAAAATTAATTCCTATAGAGTGTAAAATTATAATTGAAAAATAGAAAAAACTTAATTATTAGTTTTCAGATCGAATATCTTAGTTAATTCAACTATTTAAATACAATACAGTAGGAAAATATTTGATTATTAATTATATTAAGAATAGATATACATTATTTAAAAACTTCAATTATATCATAAAAATTTAAAGATTAAATGATTTTCAATACTTAAGAAAGTATTCATGAATTAATAATAAGTTAATTTGTTGCACACCTGAACCATTTTTAAAATATAAGCATAAACATCATAATTTTGTTGGAAAATAAAATTATGGTACTTAAATAATTCTTAATTTAATTTATAAGTAGCAATACATTACATTGAATTAAAAATACCTAAAGTACTCATTTATTAAAATATTTTAAGATGTATAAAAAAATAAACTAACAAACTTGATTGTGGCTGTAACATGACTAAACAGTTGAACAAAGTTGTACGTAAATCATTTGTACTATAACCATTGTACCAACGGAGTTGTGCAATATTTTTGTTAAGCAAATAAACAGCGTAATCAAATTCCAATCTAGCTTTAGTACGGCCAAATAAAGGAAACCTGGAAATGATAATTTCATTTAATAAAATAGATATAAATTGTACTTTAAAACTCACAATCGTTCTCTATCCTGCATGTCTAATGAGATGTGATCAATAATTTTGCTCCGTGATCCTATGTGGTTAATTGGATATCTTAATGGAATATTTAAAAAGTAGGAAATCATAAGTGTCAAGTGAGCCACATAACCTAAAGCAACACTCAATTGAATATCATTGCATCCATCAAAATTTTCTGAATTGGGAAGGTGAACATCACATATTGAAATATTTTCATTGACCTATAAACATTTTCAGAAAATAATATTTAACTATTTATACTATAAACATATTTATATATATAACTCATGCTATTATTATACTATACTATGTTATATTATATCATAAAATGTATATGTTATTTGAGACTATGTTTCATTTATAATTTAGAAAAGATTTTACAATTTAAATGTAATTATACAAATATATATATATATAATTCAGTGTTGGCAATTAATAGCGATCAATCGCATTTGAGAAGAGTAAAATACGAGCAGGTTGTTCCAGGCCATACTTTTTTTGATAAACCAGTCAACCGATAACTGTGACTGATGCAGTGTGATGTCAGTCCCCAAAATCTTAGTGTGATAAATGTGACCTAATATAATTGAAAATAGATAATGTACAAAATTAAATATTTAAATAAAACTAATTTTTATGTTTAATTTATTTTATCAAAAAAATATTCTAAGAATGATTCGATAAAAATATAAAAATAAAAAGAGAATCACTGTATTGTTTATTGAAAATATTTACATTGAAGGTAAACAAATTAAACAATATTACTATGGTCAATACATATATATATACACATGATTAGTTGCAACCAAACAATTCAAAAATAAGTGGAAAAAAGTAGTTTATATTATTATTTTATAGTTAAAACTTTAAAAATTGATACTCAAAACAATTTTCTGTTGAATTTCATTAAGATGAAAATATTTTATTTAATATTCAGGTCTTTATAGAAAGGAACAATGTCAATTTTGTAAGTTTTATAATAAAAAATTTGACATATTTTTTGCTTTGTTCAAAATTTAATTAAGTATTAGTAAATATGACTTTACCTAATTTATTGAATAATTGTTTTTAAATATTATTTTATATCTGAAATATATAATATCCAATATTGGCTTAGGATTGTTTGTTGATATTGGTTTGTTACCTCAGTAATAGGGTATATGTAGTTCAGTTCTGAAACAAGTTGCTTTTTTCGATAAATGAGCTGATTATTTAAAGTTGACAATGTCTCAGTTGAGTTGGATATAATGCTTAATTGCTTTATCCGATGAATGTCTACGAAGAGTTTTTCATTCATTTCTTTTAGCTTGCAGTCTGTGTAATATAATAAAATAAATTTCAAATTATTTACATTTTAAAATTTTAATTTTGTTTTAATTAGACAAATATATTATAAGTAATAATTTGAGTATATACTATATAGTTATTTTACTTAAGTAGCATAAAAAATAATATAAGATTAGCTGTAGTAAGATGCTTATTTAAATTGTTACAATAAAATATTATATTGTAAACTTATTTTATTGTAAATTATTGTCAAATTTTGATTAATTTATTAGGTAACATTTTCATGTCTAAAAATAAATTGTATATCAAATATTGTCCATTATTTTTTATACACTATGCCTATCTGTAATTATCTGATTTATATCAGACATATTATGTTAACTAATTATTAGAAAAAATATGGTGGTACGTATCTTGTAAAAACTGGTATATATTTTATTTAATTAAAATTTAACTAAGAAAATAATTTTAATTACATAAGTTGTACAACAAATCTAATTTATCGTATAAATATAATAAAAACTAAAATTATCTTATTAAAATCAGATGTGGATTAAAAATTTTTTTTTTAAATTTATAAGTAAGTCAATCAGTTGATAATGATAAGCTGTCAATTAAATGACAAAAAATTCTAAGATTTCTAAACTCTTGAAAACAGTTTAATAATTATATGGCTAAATTTGTTATTAACTGAATAAGGCAGTTTGTACGAAAATAATCTATATGTATATAACCATAACTACTTATTTAACATATTTTTTTTTTAGAATTATCAATTGAAATTTAATATACACAACCCAAAGGTATTATAATTGGAAGATTCTAAGATAAAATAATATATTATGCTAATGATTTTTACGGAAAAAATTGAATGCTATTTTACTATAATAAAAATCGTATTATCTAAATACACTTGTTTGATTAAAGAAATGTGGGTGTGAATAATATAAACTATAAATTATTCATTATTAGTGATTAGCTATCCATATATCATTGAATTTTTTAATTTAAGTATATGAAACATTCAGAATAATGCTTTCAACTTATTCTTTCAATACATTATATTAAAAATAAGAGTGTGTAAAAATAAATAAAATTGCATGTTACTTTTAGTACAATTTTCGTCATAGAATTCTTTACTAGTTTGAGTTTTATTACGAAGAAGAGCAATTTTTCGAGACTTTTCTTGGCAAAGCAATAATACTCTAAATTTGATAAGTTCAATTTCTTTTTTTCTAGACATGATACTCTGTTGAGATGGTTTTTGAGTTGCTTCTTTGTTCATCAATCTTCGTAATGTAGCACTTTGATGTCTTCCTGTTCGATTGTCTTTCCAGCTGATTTCGCCTTGAATAACTTTTTCTTTTAATAAAGTAGCTTTTTCTCTCTGTTTACTAGTGATTCTTTGAATACTATGCATTCTGTAAAATACAACGGTAAAATAAATATTGTAATATTGTTCATAATTTACATTGAACAGTACCTTGTCAGTTGAAAAAGTTTACCACTCATTCTTACATCTTTGGAAGGTAAAGTAAGATCTGTAATGCGAGCTAAGGTAGGTTGATCTTCAGCAATACAATGTGGAGCAGTATAATTTCCTCCAGTCATACAAAATACTAATGAATTGGAATGAAACATTTTTGGCTCCAATGGCATTGGAGTTATATACAACAGACCACTTAATTCAACGCCCCAAACAAATAAAACTTTTGTTTGGTGTTCTGTACTTTTCCACAATCGCACTACAACAGCTACAAAATCATAATTTTTTTTACAATATATCAAAACTAATTTAAATTGTATAGTAAAAAAAAAATTAGTTGAAAAGTATATTTATTTTATTGTTAATGGCTTATATGTTAATGCGACGATTAATTAGTATGTTGTAAAAAAAATAAATATTTGAATTGTTACATTGTTTTTTTATGAGCTGTAAATCATTTAAATACACTGTAGAATGTTATTACAAGAGATGTTGTTTAAATGTAATATGTTTGAAAACCAATAAATTTTTATTGAGGTTACAATTATTAATTTCTTAAATATTATATTATATTTCAAATAATTTTAAACTTTTAATGTTAATATATTAACAAAATAATTACAGTTGTACAGATTATAAAATGTTATTAAATTGTTAGGCTTTACATTAATATATGGATTTAGTATTACAAACAATGATCTAGATATACGACTAAGTAATTTTTTGTCAATCAGAATTGTTTCTAATAAACTTGTAGTTAAAAAGATTTATATTTTATATAGTGTTAAATAATATAATTTAAAACTAATTTACCTTTAGCAGATCCGATTGAACTACAGATATCCATTTTTGACCATTTTGGATTACGCCCACGGACTTTTTCACTAGTGTATAATGGGGCACACATTGTTGTTAAATGTAAAGTATAATAAAATGAAGTATTGTTAGTCGTACTTTCTGGATCAACACACATGTTATAACCAAAAACTTGTACTATGTTTCGGAGCCTTTGCTATAATTTAAGTAGGTAAAAGATAATAAGATTTTTATTTTTATAAATGTCCTCGATTTATATGTATAAATATAAATACTTGTTGAGTAACAAAAGGTATCCATTCTTGGGAACGGAAGGTCTCTGATTTTAATGTCATAATTTGCGTTAAAATGTTTACTAATAATCATACCTAAAAAAATTGACAAAAATATATGAAGGATATAAAGATAATAAATAAATATATTGTGTGAAATAAGGAAGCAAACATTTTTAGTCTTGATGTGAATACAATTTTGAAAAAATCAATAACCAATGGATCGAATGTAAACCAAACAAAAATAATCAACATTATGAGATCATAAAAGTTGTGCTCGTTAAATTAAATACACCCATAAGATGAGAAGATTTTGAACAATTATTTTCAAACTCACCTCCAGCTCTCCTCCTTATCATTGAAACTGTTTACATTATAATTTGGACAGGATGAATTTTTTTTCTCCAATTAATCAATTATAGTTCTAATAATTTAACGGAAAAGTACATATTTAAAAAAATAATTTTTTAGATGAAACTTATTATAAAATATATAACTGACGATTGACATAAGGCTTCCCATCTTATCTCTAAGTGTTATGAATGATAAAAAATATTGATGTTGATAGTACGCAGATTCTCAAATCGTACATGGAGGTAATTTTGAAACCGGATACAACTATAATGACAAAAACGTAATAATATTGTGGCTATACAAAAGGGAATTATAGTCTAATCTAGTTTTTGTACAAACCTTAATACTGTTTCGGAATGAATTATTCTTTGTATATGAACCTAAAACCTCGGTTCTCGAGTTAATCACATAATATGTGATATTAGATATTATCTCGAACGCAAATATAAAGTATTATACTATACTATTATAACAAAAAAAAAATACCCCGCAAATAAATCATTTTATTGAACATATCAAAATTTAAACCAGTTAATTTAAGATAAAACAAATTAGTAGTTTCAAGCTTTAAATAGGTACAATACAATTACACTGAAGCTAAAAATCATTGTGTTCTTTTAAGCCTGGAGTATGGAGTCTTTGGATAAAACAGATTGAATATGGTATGATTAGGTACTACCTATCTATGATATTATTAAGTATTTATTACTATACTATTACTATACTATGACTAACTTCTAACTACTATATCTTCGGACCAAGTCAGACTGCCAAATTCTGATTTCATCATCGTTTCCAGCATACAAAAGTACATATGTAGATAATAAAAAAAAATCCAAAATAAAGTGTGTTCGGTAAAGTAACAATATACAAAAATATTATTCGTTTCGGTGTTCCCAACTGCTTCAATTTCAATCTTATGTTGTTCAATAATTGGTATGCATTGTAGGATAAATAAACTACGTAATGTGCGAAGTATAAGGACTATTACCAGCTTAAAAAATTATTTTAAATTATATAATCAGTTGTGTGCAATTTACCAAGTTCATTTTAGTTAAATGACTTACTATTGGTAGGTAATAGTGAATTATCTATATTTACTTTAATTATAATATTACGTCTTCTATGTCTAGAAAGAGAACAATAATAAATACTATTCAACTTCTTGATGAAAGTATGTGACAAAACAACCCTATAACATATTGATTTATTAATCTTAATTCCTAACTTTTAAGTATTGCACAAGATTTAATGAATTTAGTTATAATTAAGCATTTCTATAATTTATATGGTTCATTTTCAATGACTCTTAAAAGAAATATATTTATTCAATATTCAATTTTAAATAAGCTTTATTATATTTTAGCTATTTTAGTTATTTGTTGTACAATGAAACACTTGTGAGATATTTTATTTTCAATTGTACTATGAGTTTCAATCTATAATTTTTAGTAATTAATGAAATTTGTAAATTTATAATAGCTACTTATATTTATGAAAGAAGGTTATAAAATCATAATATATTTATTAAACAATAAGAAAATAAGAAATAACATAAGAAATAATTTATTTGTATTTTACCAATTATTATTTCCATTGTAAATGTTTACAGTTAATCATCATCAATATTTACTTAAACAAAACTCAATTATAAATTCAATATACATTCACACAACTTTTTCTTTAAAAAAAAAAAATAACAATAAGAGTAGATATGTTTAATACCCATAATATTATTTTATTAATTCAATGCATTATAAAGAAGTAAATTGTATTTCTCCTTTTAATTTCTTATGTAAGGTGGATTTTGATGCAAACATTTTTTTTTGTCTTTTTGTTAGGTAATTTAGATTATAGAGCTCAAATTTTATAAAGAATTGCGTTTTTTAACTGTTAAAATTGATCCTATTTTTCGGGGCAATAGACAACTTTGGGTGTGTCTAATTTGAGATGTATTGGCATTTTCTCTTAATGAATGATTTTCAGGTCTTAGAGTTGTATCATTATCATACATTAACATAATACCATTATGTCCTAATTCTCCTAAACTGGGTTCTCTCTCTGGTTGATAGACATATGTTGGCCTGAAGAAAAAAAAATGTTTTCTATTAATAATTTTTTTTCTTATACCTAAGTATATAATGCAATTTAATTTGAACAAGAATTAAAATCAATTTGTTAATTATAATACTTTAAATGTATATGCATTTTAAATGAAAAAAAAAATCATCAAAAACTGTTTTTTTTTACTAATGTTTTAAATTAATTAAATTTTTTTTTATAAAATAATCAATATATTTTTATTGCATTCAAAAAAATTTTAAAAATAAATTACATGACCCGTTAAAATAATAATATACGCATAGTAACTTTATTAATTTTTACTTGTATTTTAATAACTTATTATTACATTGATTATCAACTTATAGTATCTATATGTTTGAATTAAGATATAATATTATTAAGACATGGGAGTAGATATATTATTATAATTAATTAATAATTTAATAATACATTTGGGGCTTATTTTATATATAAATAATAATATTAATAGTAATATATAATAGTAATAATCAATTACTATATTTCAGATTGTAATAATTTAAATACATTTATTTTTAAAAAAAATCTGTCTACTATGAATTATGTACTATGAACTTAGTACTGTAGTGTTACATTTTTTTTTTTTTTATAAATCGGATAAATAAACCCGCCATTTAGGAAGACTGTGATGAGGTAGCACCTTAAATTACTGTAGAGTTACTTTATATAAAATATAATTTAAGCATGTAAGTATTCAAAAATAATTATTTCCCATGATATTTGAGATACTTTAGATAAGTATAATTATAAGACTAAGATGACTATTAGGCATAATTTTGGTTTACAAATTTTTATTTTAATATACAATTATTTATTTTATTAAAATGAATTTAAACATAAACCACACAGAGAAAAAGTTCATAATTTTTTACAGATTTTTTTTAGATTTTTCTAAGTGTTGAAAAATTATAAAAAAAAAAAAAGAAGAAAATGTAACTCTTATTCTTAAGTAGGTGTCTTTTGTTTTAAATTTTCTATCTAAAATTATATTTTTTAGTATATTGAAACCAGATATCTATATTCTTGAGGCTATGAAAAAATATAAAATCTTTGAGTTAAAGACATTCCTTAAATAATTAAATTTTTTTATTTTATAGCCCTTGATTAATAATATTTAATTTATGAAATAAAGTATTTACCGGTTATTAAATCGGTGAATTCTTGATAGCATTTGTTGGTGGTGTTGGTATTGATGGTTACTTAGACATTTTATGTATAAATCACGTATAAAGTATACTACAGAATAACAAACAGCCAGTTTACAAATACTTTCTAATGTTAATATCGTGGTATGGTCCATTTTATAGTTAGATTTCAAACTATCGTTGACCTACAAAAATAATTAATTTAAATTAATTGGTAATGTATAATTGTTTTTAAAACTTGTTTAAAAAATTGTATCTAATAAAATACAAGTAATATGATATGGTTTAATATAAAGTTAATGTAAATTGGTATTGAGATGTATTTATTTTAAATTTTTTTAATAATTGTTAGTTAGTTAATTAGGTAATTATAATTATTTAAATATAATACATACCATTGTAAGGAAAACGATGGTGTATTTATTAAGGAAACGTATTAATCCATATGACCAACAATGAACACCACTCCACACTAATACCAAAGTAAGTATTTCCTACAATGGAAGCATAAAGCTATAACTATTTAAAATAACAGTTTTATAATTTATAATCACTGGTAGGGGAAAACGGGGGAATAGTGCGCATTGGCCAACTGGTAGCTACAGAGTTTACTTGATATTAACTAAAAATAATCAGCTGATTGACCCTATCAATTATCGAAAAATTTATAACTTTATAATTATTATTTTTCCGTTAATTTAAAAAAAAAATGAAAACGCATACCACCATCTTAAAATTGAAGATTTTTCAAACACTGTAAGTATAGTTAATAATTTTTTTGTGTAGTTAATGATACTATTGTATAGACAATTTTCTGTATTCAAAATAAATATATATTTGCGCAATTTTATGCGCCTAAGGTTTTATAATAAATAATTTTATAGCTAACGGCGTAATGGGGTAATACTTGCGCATTTGTTCCGGTGGAATTATACGCACTAAAAATGCTTATCAATACCCCTTACCTAAATATTAATGTTAATTTAGAATTATCAATAAAAATATTTATTTTAAATTATATTTATTATTATAATTTTTCTTTTAAACAAACATTTTTAATAAAAATGGGTAGAACATATCTATAAAAAAGTAAATGTGCTTCTTGGAAACCTGATACTTTACATGCCGCCCTACTATCTATTAGATCTAGGAAAATAATAAGAGCCGTTAGTAGTCAGTAGTAATAGTCAAATACTTAAATTTAAATAATATTAATAAATTAAAACATTAGGAAATACTAAGTGCGTATAATTCCCCATATGTTTTTCAATAGTAAATATGGTGACAAAATTTTGTCTAAAGTGCGTGTAATTCCTCCGTGTTCCCCAACCCAAGCGTATTAAAAAAAATCGTAAAAGTATTAGTAGTAAAATATCTTATAAATCTTCAATGAAAATAATTTAAATATAATTTCTTACTTTTTTGATTTTTTTTAATACATATCAATATTTATGATAATCAATTTTTTATTATTAACAATTTAATTATAATAATTATACCGTAAAAAAATATTTTCCCCATTGATTTTCCAAAAATATATTGGGGCTTGGTCTATCGTATGGATTAATTAATGTAATTATATACGTTTTGGAAAATAACCAAAAGTATACAACAAATATAACAAATGGTAATAAGGTTAAAATTGAATATCCACAGTTAAACTTTTGGCCAACTTGAAACACGTAATTGATCAAACGTTCATGAGTAGTCATTATTGCTCCGTACAATAACTGTGTCTTTTTTTTGTTTCGTCGTTTGATAATTGATCCTTCGGATTCTTGGAATAATGATTTGATATAAAAATTAATTTTTATAAGTTTCTACTAAAAATTAATGAATTACGTTGTTAAGTGAAGTTTATATACCTGGTGATGTTTATTTAGAGCCAGATCATTATTTTCATATATTTATAATTGTACCTATAAACGATTAACTATTTTAATACTACTTATAAGCATATAAAATGTGAGTCTAAAAAATAGATAGTGTTAATTCGAAAATTAGACAAAATACTGGAAAGCATATTTTTTCATTCAATAACCGGTTATTTAGACAAAACTTAAGCCAAAAAACAACAACTACAGAGGATAACCATAGGTGTGCGCTGGGAGGATGCCGGGTATGCCATGACATCCCCTGCGGGTCTGCGAAGCCAGCTTGTTTTTTGTTTTTTACTTTTTAGTTAGGAGTTTATAAACGTTTTTATAAACAGAAATCAGTTTAAAAATTTAGACATTTCAGTCTACGTATTTTATTTATGATAATTTTTTAAAATTTTTATCAAGTACAGTTAATAATATTTTTGTTATAAATTGTAATCAAGAATCAGTGTTGCAGTGTTATTAGTTTATAGTGTTATTTATTGTGTTTGTACTTAATAATGACGAATTAGAAAGTGAATTAAGACTTCTACGTTCTTTGCCCGATTTTGTAGAAGGCCCATTAAACAAAATTCATCAGTGATTAGAAAATTATCAACAAGTAAAAATTTTGTTAATGTACATAAAGCGTTAAAACTTTTTACTACCATTCCTGTCACAAGTTGCTCCTGTGAAAGAGCTTTTTCTAAACTAAGTTTGGTAAAAATAAAATTAAGAAGCCGCATGTTACAAAAAATAATGGATGCATTGATGTTGATATTTGTAGAACAAGAACTAGCATCACAGATAAATTAAAACGATGTAATTGAAGAGTTTAAACATTTGCATATTTTTGACAGAAGATTGGAAATATAATAAAGTATTACATAAATTAAATTCATATTAATATTAGTAATAAAATGAAAAGTTAAAATATTTTTACTATTTTTACTAATATTGATTATTATTTTGAGAACTTTGTAGTTATGCAGTGGCGTAGCCAGGATTTTTAAATGAGGGGGGGGGGCTAACCACTTTTTTGGATAAGTAAGGTAAGAGAGGATATGAGAATTCACCCTTAACCCCCCCCCCACCATCTACTACCAAGTTTCTAAACTAATTCAAGCATTTTAGTGTAGTATTAAAAATATTTATAATTTATAATAATAATAATAATTTTGGTTTCAGTGTTCAGTCACTTGCTCCACTCTGACAGCTGCATCTTCTTAGGCGAATTTCTGGCAAATTCAGTTATTATTTCACTTTCATTGAATTGCTCTTTTTTATTTATATTAGCCATAGCTAACCCATTCAGTCTGTTTTCCGATATGGTGCTTCTTAAAAAATTTTTTAAGCGATTAAATGCTGAAAACGTTCTTTCCGAAGTGAAAGAGGTAACTGGTAACGTGGCGAATAATTGTAAAAGTATTTTAATGTTAGGTCGAAGATTAGTGCGATGAGAGTGTGAATCAAGAACAGAATTCGGTTTTGGAATAGTATTTTTAGTATTTTGACTCAATTGTTGCCTCCATATGAACAGGTCAACTCTGATTGTAGATGAGGTATCATCATGGAGATCTTGTACATCTATTTTAGCAGTTTTTATAATATTTTTATCGTCATACATATTTAAATTGGCCGGAATAAGTCCTTCAAGTGGCATAACATCAATAAGCCTTTGATTAAAACGAGCATCCATTGATTATATTGAATAGTCAAGATACATTATACATATAAACACGGCCCATGGAGGGGCTATAGCCTCTTTAGCCCCCCCTGGCTACGCCACTGTAGTTATGTAATACATTTAAAAAAAATCTGATTTATATTTTTTTGAAAGGAAATAAAAATTGAGTTATTTTTAAATATATTGGCATCCCTTGCGAAAAAAGTCAGCGCACGCCTAATGAGGACAACTTAATCGTTTATTGCCTACTGAACTACGGTCTTGTTTTAAAATCTACACATCTACATAATATTTGAATCAGTGGCATGCCCAGGAATTTCCTATGGGGGGATATTATCTAATGGTGGAGTGAGAACTAAATCTAGTTAAGAAAATAAAAGTTCAAACTGATAAATGTTAATAAGAACAAATGAAATGGTTTTCTCGTTACATTCAAAACGCCACTTTTCTGACTTTTTTCTTATCATTATCCTAATAATTGTAACTTTAACTTAAAAGTACATTTTGATTTGCTATAAATTATTATTTTATTAATTTAAAATGACTATATAATAACACTAAAAGCTTCAAGAGTAGCTGGAGTAGCAAGAGTATAGCTACTTATTTATAGGTACCCAATCAAACATTTTATTGATTAAATTATTTTATTAATTTTTTATTAAAATGCAATACAATTGATAAAAGAAAAAATATTTAAAAATTAAATTATTCTAGATGGAAATTTAAACGCTTCATTTTTGCACTCAGTTCATTTAGAACATCATTAGTCTTTAACTATATATATTGATGGGTATTCACTAGAGCTAATCCATTCAACTTATTCTTTGATAAATTTTCATTTTTTTGGAAAACTATAACTTAGTTGTTCCGTTGCGTTTTGACATCATAAAAAACTTTATTTGAATAAGCAAATTTAAAAGAATCAAATATGTGGAAGTCAATAAATACCTAATAATTTCAGCAGACCACAATTTATAGAATTCACTTATTAAATTAATATAACTAATATATAAATTAATGTATTACAAGTAACAACTTCCTCACTGATAATATTTTATAACACATTGATAAACTGATCAACATTTGGATAATATTTTTTTGGCGGTCAGTCAATAGAGTAAACCAGTATTTTTCAACCATTTTTTGTTCACGGCACACCATTATACATCACAAGTTTTCGCGGCACACTCATGCACTTGACAACAACAAAAACTTTGGCTAAGCGCTAAGATATCCAGTTGGGTTAAAACCGTACAGTTTACTTACATATGTATCGTCTTATCTGCACAATTAATTGACATTTTACTGTCATAGTTTCATCAATGGGTATTTTTTAATATCAGATATTTTTCACGGCACACTGGTTGAGAACCACTGGAGTAAACGATAGCAATATTGCTTTGATCAATTTATAATTCGTATAATCGCAGTGTACACTCATATATATCTTTGGTTGCTTATCTCAATTTTTATGAAACGACGGCCATAGAATATATTACACCTGCTTTATACTATAAATAGTATGTATAGCACGTAATAGAATCAAATATTAATATTATATTTTATACATTTATGCATTTTAGGTATTATTACAGCAAAACAAATTAATGAATCCTATAGGGAAAAAAGTTAATGGGGAGGAGGATATAACCCCTAACCTCCCCCTGGACACGCCACTGATTTTAATGCATTTATAATAACTGAAAATAGTATAATAATATCCAACTTAGAATTATTTTAAAATGAAATCAATATGTTACACGTCTTGTTTTCAACAATTGATACAAGTAGTACCGTCATATACATCCAGTGGCGTATCCAGGATTCATTTAATGGGGGTGTTTTAATATTTAATAGACTTTTGGTAAGTGGGGGCTCTGCCCCCCCCCCCATATTACATTAATGAAAATAATTATATTAAGAGTATATGTAATATCTAGAAGTTGTATACAATGTTTATTCAAATTATACTGTAAGTAAGTTTGCAATTTGGTGAAATACCATAAAATACGGTCGATGGGGGGGTGCTCTAACACCCATATCACCCCCCTAAATACGCTCCTGTATACATTACAGATGTCAATATTATAATATTTATATCTGTGTTATACGTAATACGAGTATGTATATATTATGCCTATTACTAACTGTTAGTGCGCGATAGATCGTTCGCCCGACGCGCGTCGAACTTTTTCTGGAATGGTCTATTTTTGCCGGTGATAAGCGTACACTCCGTGACTATCATCGACCCACGGACTAGATCACCGTGTTATTGTGTGTCGTACGGGGATTGCTTCTCTCGTATTTTTGTCTGTGTCTCGTATTTTTTCGTTGCGATACTTATGACTAGGGAACGGATTTATATGTAAATACATATTTTTATTAAAACGAGATATTTAAAATTTGATAAGAAATGTTCATGATTTAAATCATTTCTATTAATATGATGCTACTTTTATTTTACATATTTTTACATATTTTGGTATAATTCCATATTTTTACATATATCACTAATTTGTAAATATTTTTAACATATTTTGTTATTTCATCATTCATACGTCTTCTTCCTACAAAAAATACAAGAAATTATTTCAAATTTAGATCCAGAACTTATATCGCTATTAGTAAAGCTCAAAATATTATGCAAAATGAAACATTGAAAACTAATTTAATTTTCATCTCAGTGAATTTTAGTTTTATTGCACATACATTTACAAAATAAGAAACAAAAATATGTCCTTGAATGAAAGTATGCAAATTGTCGAATCAACGATTGCAAAATGAAAACTCGTAAACGGACCAATAGGCGAAGTTGTAAAAAAGAAAATTCATGTTGTTACAGAGAAAAATTTCAGGCCATATTGATTATAAATCAATCAATGACATAGAGTGGCAGACATCCTTCTAAAATTTTGGAATTATCGCCTTCTAATATTATGCCCTTCAAATATGCTTAAATCAACCGATGTAGGTTAATGTGGAACGATCATTTAGCAGTTTTAAAAATATTTTCAGATCTAATAGGCGATATTTAATATTTAATAATTTAAAATTGTAATAATTCAATGCAACAAATCATTTTGATAATTTAATAATTATAATTTTTTTTTTTTTATTAAATTTTTTTCCTACATATTTGGATGGTTTTAGGACATATTTTATAAATTATACTTACATAAATATGTACATATTTATATATTTTTATTACATATAAATCCGTTCCCTACTTATGACCAATCACCCCAAGGTTGAGATAAATATCAAAAAGCCATACTTAGCTGTACCGTCTGAAAACATCAGTGATTTATAAACGCGGGTGCTGAACATACGTTTACGCACCCCACTGATTTACGTTAATAAGAATATTAGCCCCTAGGCGTCTTAGGTAGGGATCCCAGATTTATTTTTTAAAAATGTGGGACATTTTAAACCATACCTATTTTTGAAATTATCATTGGTGTTAATTTGGGGAGGGGGTGAGAAGATTTATGTTAGCAATTAACATATTACAAAATGAAATATATGATGTTTGTTATAAACATTTGGGAGCTAAAATTACATTTGTCCTCGATTAACATTTCATTTTCCTCGCAGTTACTAAATATAACATAAAATAAAGTTAAACACAATATTTGATACTTCAAACAAATATGAATTATAATTAAAATTAAAAACAAATAATTAGGTGACTTTCTTATTTTTTTTTTTTAGATTTTTTTTTATTATTAAATAATATTATTTTTTTTTTCATAAATATCATTTTATTTAGATATTATAGTTTATCAATAATATAAAATTTAAAAATTTTAATGATATCGAAAAATTTAATTTTGAAAATATGGTACCTACGTACGAAATGGATTATACAAAATACGGGACGTATGGGATCCCTAGTCTGAGGTGTTTTGTGCCATTGGTGTTCCAGTCCATTCCAGCCGCCGTCGGTATATCTATCACGCGCTAAGCCACAATTCCAAAATTCTTACCAACTACCATATTACCAGCCCGAGTCTCCGCATTATTGTTAGGTATTATGTATCATGTTCCGCGTTTAATTATTATATATTTTATAATATTATAATAATTATAATATAATATAATATTAATAATAATTATAATTATTGATTTATTATCATTTTCTGTATTATCATGCCCGATAAGCGACTTATTATTATTACTACTAACATTAGCGTATAAGTATCATTTTTGTTACTATGAAGTATCATGTGAATTGTAAACCAATTCTTCAACAGCAACATTTCGTTACCATTTTTTATTAATCCTTCTCGTGAATTATTTTGGCACTTTTCCTTTTCCTTTTTATTTATTTTATTTACAGTCCTCTACTACGTCGCATCGTAGTATACCAGCGATCGGCCGTGAGCGGGCAATACCTGGCGACAAATTACGCCGTCGTCCCAACGTTGTTGTTCTATCCAGGTCCCCCCCCCACACACACACACACACACACATACACACTACCTGCAGATGACGTACACCGCGCCTGGAGTATAGCTCACTATCCCGTACGCCTACCGCAAGTATTATTTGGTCCGAGAGACTACACGTGACAACGGACAAATACTAGGTTTTAACATTTTATACCATAGTTATTGCAGTTTATCTCAATAATTTTCTATTATTGTTGCTTAGTTTTGTTTTTATCGTTTAAGACACACGTGTACCCTTAACGATAAAAAACATATGTACCCGATTAATAACATATTTCAATTTCATTATTAAAAATAGCTGTAAATAATAAACCATCGTTTTAGGTATAATGTTTTATTTCGTACAAAATTGAATACATACTATCAAGGATATTTTATATATGGGTATGCAATATATTTATAGGTAGGTATAAGTTTATGGTGAAAATAAATGATTTTTGTGATAAAAAAGATCTATGTCAAAATATATTGACGAATGACAATATTGACATAATAACATAAAATGAAAAAATAAAATTTAAATACTTATAACTAGAATAATAAATAATCTATACATCAATTTAATTGTTTAATTGGTTTTGTTGTTTTGATGTATTTACGACACTTATTAATTTATTGATGGCAAGAGATCCAAAGAACTATGAGAGTGTAATGGCTTTCTATAACCAAATACTGCTGTGAACACCGATTTCCCGATCATTGTCAAGCCGGCTATCATCATCGCGATACTTCCGATTAATTGGGTATACGGTAAAACGTTAACAGTTAAATACATGAGAGCTGTTATGTACCAAGGTAAGCCCACTTGATTCTGAAATATTACAATAATATCGTTACAATGATTAGTAAGAAAACATATACGTATACATGTATACGAACATATCAATACATGTCGCTATAACGATACGACTATGAATTTATTTTGTTAAATATATGTAGATCTAAAATTAATTCACATTGGTTTAAATAAGTTCCTATAGGATAATTTTTCTGCATTTTAACAAAATAATTGTACATTTTACTATATACGGATGGTTCTAAAATTTCAATATTTTCTAACGTCTTTTTGAATTGTTATTTCTAAAGCATTTTAGAAAAATTATCCCTTTGAACTATCTATTGATACTGTTGTTGATTTCTTTTCGATCAAATGACAATAATTCTATTATATACTATTACATACAGCAATATAAATATTGTAAACATTGTAATTTCACATAGACTAAATTATATTTATATTATATAAGATAATATATTGTCTAATGTACTCACGTATTCGGCCCAAAACATCGGTATTGTCATATTACTAAACTTGTCGATATTGGAAAATCCACTTGTAGGATGCATGACTAGATTGCTTTGGCTACGAGCTCTACTTTCAACTGGTACTCCTGTTAACTATTTTATAAAATGTGTACTGTAGTTTTGTAATTATAGACCGAGCGTGGGATATTAATTTTTTATAATTACTTACAGGTTCGACGATTAAGTACGATCCATGTTTTTCTTCTGTTGGATGTAAACCTGATATAGAATTAAAAAGTTTTGGATCGCCATTGAGGAAATGAGGAAATGAAGCGGCTATAGGGAAATCTGTAAGAAATAAAATATGTTAGGTACATGATTAAGAAAAAAACACAGTTGTGGTCTTAAATAAAATGTCTTGAAAGCAAATGTTTTAATCCATATTAGTTTCAGGTCCTGAGCGCATTATTTTTTTAGTAAATCAAAATATTATAAATTACATATTTTATCTGTATATCTCATTTATTTGTAGGATTTTCTTCAGTTATATTAATAGAAATAATTTTGAATTATTTTAAAGATATATTTAAGTGAAATATAGTATGAATCATGTATAGATAAAATAACATTACCCAAACATTTAAAATAATAAAATTAAAGTCTATGAAATTACTTTATACGTTGTCAAATAACTAGTGCTTATGAAAAAACAAATAAAAATTTGTACAGTTAAACAGTTAAATTTATATCTACATCGACACTTAGCCGATGTAGATAAATTATACTTATTTGTCCGAATATTACGAAACCTATTTAAATAATTACATAACACAATAGGATTATCCAACATTACTTATAACTGCATAATATACCAATGAGGAAGATACATTTAAATAATTATGGCATTCGTCACAATCATAATTCACAATAAATGTTTTGATTGAGTACAACTAATACAATGCACGACACATACGTTAAAACATTTACGCTAATAATTTATTAATTTTACATTCTTCTGCTAAACAAAATTATTCATACCTATTGATCAATTAATGTAATCGGTATATTATGTGGTGAGCCAATAGATGAAAGCTAGTAAAATTGTTTGTCCTATGAATTATGATATGATGAAAATCGGTTAGTTCAAGTGTTTAAAAATAACACTCTTTTGCGTACCTAATGCTCCGTTATAGACAATTTCGTTATAATAAGTAATGTCATTTAAAATTGAATAATTTAATTAAATATTTCAGATTTTTGTTGGTCTATAAATTAAATAACATGTAGTAAGGATAAAAAAATCTTGTTAAGACAGGAAATCGTGTTAAATTATATAATGAGATCATGTTGAAATAAGCCGAAAAAAACATCGATGTAGACCTCGGATGGATGGGTTCATTTTTTTAATCTCGGAAATTAAACTATAATTGCATATCATTACTGTTTTGGTCTAAAAATAAGCTGCGCCGCAGTTATTAAAACTTGCTGATGAACATTCAACAAAATGAACAAATTATTAATTTCATTTTGTAACGCAATTATTAATTATTAGTTTTACAATATAATTTTGTGTACGTAGGCAGTAAAACAATTTTCAGTTACAAACCGTAGTAACACGGCGACACATCGGAGAGACCAGAAAGGAGAGAAGTTGATTCTGGGTTTTGAAAACAGTCTTCTAGGCTAGGATCAGTTTGTGGATGTGCGTACACGGTGCGTGGCAAAACGAACTTATACATTGTCATACCTGATTTGACCACCTCGTCTACGAAAATAAAAAACCAACACGTTAAGTTACATTTTAAGGAGCGCGTAGCAGAATTTTTGTTTTAGAAATAGAGAACTCATACTTTTGTATTTGAGCGGCGTCACTCGACACATGGTTTTTCTCAAGTACTTCAATGTGTCATTCTTCGATATGAACTGATGATACGTAACGCCTTCAGTCGCACCCTGTACACTGTCGCATTTCATATCATCCCAGATACCTAGATTAGGTTTTCCGTTGTAATTTTCAACCGTAAAAAATCTTGGCTCGTTTTCCGGACCCATGTACACAGTAACTTCATCAGTAAACTTATTATAAATCTAAAAATAATCCATAAATCAAGTTTCAAGTTAGTTATTTACGTTGAATAAATGGCTCAAAATCCTCACTATTTTCCGTCAATATAAAATATTATGAATAAAAAAAAAAATAATTGAAACATTAAACAACCATTGATAATTGTAACATGAGATTTCTTAGAGTTCATTCTTTTGTTAAAAATGGTTTTTGACTTCTTTTCATAGTTTATAATATAAATATAAATGTATTATTTCCAAAAATGTTTAAACCCCCAGTTTTGGAAGCTTTGTTAGTTTCACATTAAAGAGTTATTTTCCGTATAGCGAGTTATTTATTTAAGAATGTAGAATTTAGGGTATGAATAACAATACTTGAGGGTTACAAGTATAAGATATTGTGCATATTCCATAAATTATAAACTAAATAAAAAAAAATTCAATTTTTGATCAAAAATAAAAAAGATAAATAAGGAAAATACTCCATGATCGTGTGAGATACAGAAACAGGTGAATGATATATTATTGTATTTGTCTTTCAAACTTGAAATTAATGTACCATTAACTCTTGAAAAATACTTCTGAGTGAAAGAGATCTGGTATATTAATTTATATTTAAAAAGATAGTTATTATATAGTAGGTAGCAGAACCAAATTTGTTAAGAAGATAGGTTTAATTTTTAATGTGTGAACTTAAGCAAAAAAAAAAGACATCAGATACTATATAATATATAATCGACAAAAAAAATAAAATCAATATTATATATTTATATTTATAAAAAAAATACAAATTCTGGTAAAACCAATGGCTACTACTCAGAATTTAACAATTAAAATAATTTTTAATTTTTATGTAATTTATATTCTTTGTATTTAAAGTAATATCTCCTACTCTTTGAAATGTGGTTTTTTTTTTAATACAAATTAATCAAACTTAATTAAATTAACTTTGAACATAATTTTGAATATTTAATTAATTTTATATGAATTTTAAAATGTAATTATATATCAATTCAAATATAGATTATTATTATTTTGGTTAGGTATTTACATACTTATTTACTTAATTTAAATAGATCATATTTTATTATTTTATATTTTTTAATAAACGAATCATAATAATAGTTTATATAAAATATTGATAAATTATTTACCTGGTATAATATACCCATATTTTTCTCAGGAACTAAACTAGGTATCAACATATTTGCATTCTGGACTAGTGGATCAGTTAAATTCCATAAACAATCATTAATTGATGTTTTAATGAACATTTTTGTGTTTAAAAAATTTATCATGGTTTTAAAACTCATCTTTTTGAAGAAAGAAGCATCCCACAAAAATGATGCCATTCCCTGTATAGAAAACATAAAGTATAAATAATTAATAAAAGTTAGATCATGTTACTCTAAACAAATATTTTCTTTAATAGTACAACAATTATTTTTATATGTAACACGAAATAAGTAAAACCATGTACATCAACAAGTACTTTTTTTTGCAAATAAAACAATCTGTTTGTATAAAATTTTACAATACGAGAAATAAATAATTAAATTTGAGTAAGTAGTTTTGAGTTGGTTATTATTTGAACACGATATCCATAAAGTATATTAAGCTTTTACGGTACAGTTAAATAAGATTCAACTATCTAAAGCCATTTTATTATACCTACATTCACAAAATTATGTACACGTTGTTCATTCAATATTGTATAAGTTTTTAAATAAGTAGTTTATAAAAATAGTTTTATAAATAAATAATAAAATTAGTAACTAGGGGATTAGATATCTAATTGTATTAAATGAGTGCAATTAATAAATGTCATAAGTATAACTGTTCTTCGTTCATACATTTATGAACGTGACTAAATAGTATCTCTAATGCTTTAAGTCCATTATTTATATTATTTAAAATAAAACTGATAGCTAAAATGATCGTTATAATTATAATATAAACACTGAATTTATCAGAATAAATAAAAACGTGCTAAGATTTATCTCTAAAATTAAAATGATGACTCATTAAAGGTTTTTTACATAAGAATATTATTGGCTCGGATATCCAAGGTTTCTGTGATATCAAAATAGAATACTAATGTAAAAAATCATTTATACGCACTTTTTCTCAACAACTGATAATTTAATATATTTACATGATTTTCTGATTTTAATCACTTAATTTGATGTAGTGATGTAGCATCGTTAACGGATACTATTTAAAATCTCTTTTCTTCTTTTGGTAAGTATAATACTTTTATAATATTAAAATATTAATTATAATAATTAATAATTAGGGCTTGGATTTTGTAGCAGAATAAATCCTCAAAAAAGCATTTTAAGTAGCCAAAAAAAGTATTTATTAATTTAATTCTAAAAAAAACAAATTTCAATTAAACATAAAATTTAATATTAAAAAAGGAATTCACAACCATATATTTAGTCAAGTTACTTTCATTAAAACTCATTCTATTGGTGCTAATATATTTTTGTATATTACGTATTAATCTTTAGCTCATTGGGCCGAGTTGACCTACTGCAATCAGAATGTTCAACGTTAGTGTCAAATTAATATTATGTGTTTAGAATAAATCTATTTTACAAGTTTTGTTTTTAACGATCTTTCAACAATCTAAACAATTGTTATTATCTTAAAGACAGTTTTTTTTTTTTAATAGTAATTGTCTGGTATACCGAAAAAAACGTATTTTATTTCAATCGATTTCATTTCATCAATTATCTAATCACCGTTGTAAGCACACATCATTATAGATATTGTCGCGTGAAAATGTTGTGAAATACGACCGATTTTGTTCACTGATGATGTCTATGAAAATACTATATTGATGTTGCGACACGTAACATTAATAACAGTGACTACCAATTGTTCGTGTTTCCATGATACGTACCAATGCGGCGAAGTTGGGTATTATTAAATTGTCGTCCAAACTGACGTTGGTCATTTCTGGCAAGAATACAGCCGTACGCGTGGCCACATAAGTCATTGTACCGTTGTCGTTGAATCTCACATCGCTGTGCCGTAACAATTCTCTAGAAGAAAATCACAAAAAAAAAAAAAAAATCCTGTAAACAACGTCGAACAACGCAGCGAATCGCTTCCAGACAGGAATTATTTATTATTCATATTGTGGTGATTGCAGGTGGGACACGTGTATCATTAAAATATGAGTGTAATAGCTGTACACCGACTGTTGTATAGGACGTTCAAATGTTTACTTTTTCCACGTTTTCGTCTTTGCGCGGTGCGCATGCGTTTTTACACGTTTTACACGAACATGTTACGCGCACACAACTATATGTTTGTATATATATATTACCTATGTCAATGCAAATTACAATTCTTTGTTTTCGAGGTAAACGATTATGTCGTGTAGACGTTTAAATCGCTCGTGCATAGGGTCGTAAGAGATTGCATGGTATGGTATGGAAAACTAAAAACATATTTCGTACAAAATGAATCGAACCCGAGTACATCTCGACGAATGTGTTGCCGAACCAGTATACGGATTATGGTTAATATAATAGCCTAACCTTATGGTATTTATTTTTAATATTTTTTTTAAATAGATTATAGGTATTGGCTGAATTGTTTTAAATACGTATACATTAAGTCTGATGTGGGGGGGACATTTTTCTCTAAAATAAACAATAATAAATGCTTTTCCGTATAAATGCATTAATTTGTTCCGGAATCATTTGTAACGCTCGATATGTTAAAAGCCGAGTTTAAGTATCACGTATAAATAGATTTGTTTGTAAAAATGAATTACGACTTATATTTTTAAACAATAAAATGTAGAGATATACTGCTGCTTTGATGTGTTTCTCATTTTGTTCCGACTACAATCATTGCGTTGCAATTGTTTACATTCGAGTCGAATAGACACAATGAAGAATATACGCATGTGATATGTCTGATGTGGATGCATGTTGATTAATCATTCGTATGCTTTAGATCAGCGAAGCAGTGAATATTATATCTATTGATAATTAAAACTTAAAAATATCTTTTGGTTAATGGTAAAAGATTCCCGCACGAGCAATAACAATTTTTAAGAGAGTTATTTATTTCGGTTTGATGCGATCGTGTTGAATCTTGAGCGGAAGCATTATTATTTGTTAACAAACATCGCGCTAAACATTTCGATTTTTCAAGGGCTTCGAGAGTATAAATGAAAAAAAAAACTTATCAAAAAGAAGTATATATCAAGTTAAGGTATATTTATTATTTTATTTCCATTTGAAATCTACGATGAATAAATAAAAACGTTGATAATAAATTATATTCAGTACCTACTAATTATATTCAATGACATCATCACTTATGAGAAATATTGCCAGTAAAAATATAAGCCAATCCTAGTGTTTTATGCCTATTTGTGTTTGAACGTTATCTAGAAAAGCTTAGTCTTTAGATACAATTTAGATAGTATGTCTATGGGTGGAACGTTGTGACTTAAATATTTGTATATTGTAATATTTATATGTTTCCAGACCTCAAGAACTTTCTAATATATATATATATATATATATATATATATATATATATATCACGTTTGTTTATTAATTATATTGATTTAATTACAAATAGGTTCAATGTTCTGATCTTGATTGATATTTTTAATAATAATTTATTCTTTAATATTGTTGTTAAGTGTTGGAATTTTTTTGGTTAGAAATAATTATTTTTTAGGAAGTATGTATTTGAAGAATTATCGTCAGTTTATTAACGTATATACAATAAATTGTTATTGGTTAAATTTGACTTGTGGTTATTATTTTTATTTATTTATAAAAACACATGTGTTATGCATATTGTTACAACGAAAATCCTCTAGGTATTTTTAAAAAAATCATGTATGACAATCAATATCGGTCGGATTACGCTTTTTTCTCGAAAATGTTAATTTTTTGTTTCATTTCTAATTTATATTTATAGATTTATGCTGATACACACAAAGTTTATCGTAAATCAACAATATTATCATTAAAAAATAAAATATAGTTTCCATCAAAACTATATGTATGCATACAATAATGCGCGCACTAATTATTATATAATTCTGGCAAATTCTCACCTGAAAATGATTGGACCGATTTCATTTAGTTCAAGTTTACTGTCGAGTCCGTTCTCAAACCTTTCACTGTTTGTTACGTTGAATAAGTACACTCTAAGTAAAACCTCATCGGGAGGATTTTTCCACCATTCGTAAGCCGGTAGACCACGTACCATTTTCAGTCTCTAAAAAACACAGAATAAAAATAAAAATGAATATAGTGAAAATTGTTATCTATATTATTTCAAGATAGTACCAGTAGTGTGCAAATGGCTTTCGTAAATTATCAATCACTGTTAAAGAAAACCAATCAAAATAATAAAAGAAAAATATGAAATTAAAAATTAAACTTAAATAATACAGAATGATATCTAATGAACGAAGAATATTCACCAGACAATCGAACTGGGATGCTGTACAAATTAAAATGTGAACAACCCAACGAAGTAATATATAGTTTCACACCAAAAAAATAAGATTGAAAATGTAAAAAAAGTGGCTGTAAGTGATGATTGCAGTTTTAGTCTATTAATATGTGCAAAAATTTCTTCATAAATCATAATTAATGTAATCAAACACGAAACCGATGTCTGAACATCAAGGCACTACTCGTTCAACTATTATCACCCCAGTATCTTATTATATTGCAATATTGAAATTTTCGATTAATTTATTAATCGTCAAGTACAAAAAGATTCGGTGCTCTGAACACAATCACTTATCAGATTAGATATTATTTTATAAAAATTGCTAACAAAGGCGATTGAAATAAATGTTTCAGATATCTTTTTTAATCTCACATAATTATGCTTTTTACATTCTTCTAATCATACTTCTTGATTACAGTGGCGTATTAAAGGGGGGGGGGAGGATAAAATCCCACTAAAATTTTTGAGTAGAATTAGTTCCTTAGGAGATGTGTATATTTTATCAATACAACTGTACATTATCTTATGGAGGTACCTATGCGTATTTGAGTATTATTATTTGAGTATACCAAAAAAATATTGTAAATAGGGACTGTGTAATTATTACGACTACCTACTACTAAATTAATTTTAATCTGCAATTGTTATCGTATTATCACGGCACTGCTTGTGTCAGTATGTATTTCTAATATGGTATGTTTACACGCATGCGCTTTTTCTTTCGTTTGATGCATCATAGGGCCTTTCGAGTTGAACGACTACATTTTAGTGACCCATACTATTAACCAAGACTTTCCGCACTCAATGGAAATCCGTACAACACGTCGTGCTTTTTATATTGCATTTCACTCCGGTAGCTAAATATCATAATTATTAACAACTTAATTTTAGCTGGAGTAGCCTCTCTAAGACGAGTGGTTTGTCTTATTATTTCTGGTTCAATTATATTTAATTTTGAATAAAAATGTGCTTTGGATATTCGTGTAAAATTTTTAAATAAAATATCTTGCAAATGAATTGCAAATCATCTATAATTCCAAAATTTCGAATTTTTAAATAATTTTTGATCATCAAAAAACGCTTCTTCCTATGTTTTTTATTTGCCCTTGCAATAATTAAGTAGGCCACACTAATACCGAGAAGTACATGTGTATTTAATCTGGAACACGATTGATTTGTGACGTCGTTATCGAGAACAGTAAAAAGCATGCATTTATTGCATTCAATAAAGGAATTCGTTAGATAAAAATGAAAATTAATGTTGAAACGCAAGTTGAATTGAAAATTGAAGTGAAAAGCATGTTGCATATTTTGCAAAGATTTTCAGAATAATTTTTTAATTTCTTCTTAAACTTTAAAAATAGTTATAATAATAATAAAAAAAATTAAAAACGTTAAAATTGGTCACCTCTTAATTTTTACCGCATGTGGCTTGAATATTCCACCTGTCAGTGGCTTCTACAATTGTCAATTGTTTTTTTTTTTTTTTAATTCTGTGCAATACTCGTAGTTTAAGATATAAATGTTCAATTTGTTATAAATATTTTTGGTTAAATTGTAGTAATTCGATGATTCATTAATAAGATTTTTTAATTTGATGAAAAAGAATAATTTAAAAATTGTGAACGCATGAAGGAATGAACAAAAATAAAAAAAATGAAAAAAAATACAGTTATTACAAGCAATATAGTGAAAATACCATAGACGAAAATAACCTGACAATTATAATCATAGAGTATGATTTTTTTTTTTTTTTTAATATTTTTTAAATATATGTCTTACAACAACGCTGCTAATCTGCTTAGTATATAATTATAAGATCGATGATTAAGTTGTTGAGCTAGTCATATTATTTTATAATATATCTATACAATTATTTAAAAATTTGCATTACTATAATTTAAACATGCGAAAAACACAAGTTTTATTTACTGCATATAATTATAATACTTTTTCCGTCAGTTTCTAATCGATTAATTAAATTAAATTATTAATTTATTTTTTCATTATAATAAGTACAAAGTCTATTGAAATAGTAAATTCTAACTGTGCAGAAAGATTGTTGTAGTTGAAAGTCAATTCAAAGACAACAAGAAAAGGAGTACGAATATCATAATACCCATATTATTTTAAACTCAGAAACATTGTTTTTGAAGCAAGTCCTTGAATGCTGCGAAAAATGCCCCTGCAGCAGGACTGAAGGATTCAATGATGAATGAATGACATCATTTGTACGAGTATGGGCTAAAGTAGTCGTTATAACGGATCTTTACACAAAATATTTTTTTATGTCGTTTGGAAAGTTCGTTGACTTTTGGTAGACGTAAATTTTAATGCTATAGTGATATATTGTCATGATGTATCCAAGAATGATGGGATATTATTTATAAAACATACAGCATAGTGTTATATTATTAAATATATGTAATATGTGATACACTAAAAAATTACAAAATTATCTTATACGTTGTTTCTGCATGTACTTTAGACGCTGTTATGTATTACGTGTTTAATACATCACAGTTGACGTTTTGTTGATGGATTTAAGCAAATCACTTAGTTCGATTAGTAATAAACAATGATTCCAAATTTTTTAATCAATATTTTACTATATTTGACAGTAAAAAAAATTAAAAAAACATCAAAAATTATAATTTCTGAGAAGATTTATCTATGCGGCGTACTTATGGTAAGAGGATTTTATAATAATAAAATTTTGTACGAGTATGAAAGTTAATCTACACACAAAAGTAAATATTATGTAAACGTTTTAATTATTAACAATAATTATTGAAATAAATTGTATTTATAAATTTATAATATTATTTAATAATTATTTTTTATAAAAGTCCGTAAACTACATACTTTTTCTATAGCTATAAAATACTTTTCAGGAACAAAGTTTTTATTCAGAGTTTACCTTGAGTTGTTTTAAAATAATTACTCACTAATTTGAATTTATTGAAATATCTCATATGAACAGAAATAGTCGTTGGAAAATAATGATAATGACACAATAAATTAACTAAAAGGCTAAAAACTTTTATGCGTCTTTGATGAAGATTTATTAAAACGGATTCTTTCAAAACGATGATTAAAATAGATTGAATACTTGTAAATTAACGACGGTTTCTTTAAGATGTTCAGAAGTTCAACTAGCCGGATAATATTATCTTACACTATTTTATTAATTCGTCTTTGTGGATATTACGACTATTATTTTTATTTTATGTAATAATAAAACAAGATATTTTATTTATTATAAATAAATTTAGCTAAAAAATTATATTTATATTTGATAACCCAAAGAAAAAAAAAAATGTTTATTTCTTTGATTTAGTGAAAATAACAAACAAATCAAAAATTAAGAATGCAATAAAAAATTAATAACAGTGATTACACAATAACAAGGTGAAAATCAGCTAGTAATATAGTAATTATATAACGAATACATTTTTATTTTGTTTATTTAATTAAAAAAGAAAACTATTGTTTATTTTATAACAGCATTCTATAGTTTTTTTTTTTTTTTTTTATTAAATCGGAGTCAGTAGTTTAGTCAGTCTAATTAATTTTAATAGATCGTTACAATTCATTAATAATTTGTATTTTTATGAATTGGATAAGTATTTGTGAATTATTTTGATTAAGTACCTATTTAAAATACTTTTATGATTGCACTTGATGATTGACTGGTAAAATAATTTTTTTTGTAATAAGTAATACGGACAAATATGATAAATTGTTGAAATTAGTAAATCACTTGGTCTATTAAACAACACAATTATTGTTACAATATCTTTTATACTTTTTAGCCTTACGGAAAATGAAACGTTGCTGATTATTGTTAACGGCAAAAAAAAAAAAAAAAATGAATATTTTTTTATATATAAGTGAAATATAATTTCAGATTACCTATGATTGAAAATCAAGTTTTATAAAATATTCGACAACGGTGAAAAGCACATTTTATGCGGTGTAGAATTAAAAACTTTTATTTTACTTTTATAATAATTGTTAGGGTTCTTATAGGATGCTATATTGACGCTAACATCCGATAGGTATTAATTATCTTATCAAATAAATATTCAACACATTTATTAGTGCACTTATGCATAAACGATGAACATAGCGATACACGATAATTGTTGACAGGATTGGTCTTTCAAACAGGCTGTGTGCTGTTACTTCAACATTTAATAACATTAAGATTATTAATTTATCTGTTTTTTTTTTTTTTTTAGAGGCGTATAGTTAATCATTCAATGACCTAAGTCTAGAACGATGTATTCGAGTGAAATATTATTTTTTAATTCGATATTATTTCCTAACAAGGTAGTCTTTGTAAATTACTCAAATGCCCAACTGAAAATGTTCTCGAAGTGATAATAGATTTACGTAACTTAACCATCGATAAGAACACGTTGACAAGTCGATATTAAATGCAATAATGTTTAATGTAAGTACCATATCCTCTGCATCATGTTGTACAGATGAGAAGGATGATTTAAACATCATTCGATCCTTAATAAAAAAATGTTTCATACGATATTACGTCCAATGTAATAATATTATTGTACTAATTATATTTACGAGTATATAACATCCATGTAAGGTACAGTCGTAAAATATATTATTATGATAATAAAATGTAATAAATTATATTTCCTTTTTCAGATGTAACCGTGTCTTCAGTAGTGTGCCGAGGTTTTCAATAGGAAGAAAAATTATAGAAAGCGGCGTCTGCAATTACTGAAGAAAAACAAATGATAACGATTATGGATGGATACAATATTGTATAAATTCAGATAAGAAACAAATTAAGGCATATTTTAAGGCAATTGACATACGAAGCGACACTAGCTGATATCTTAATGTGAATAATTCCTTAAATTCCTTAATGTGACCCTGGGTTGCGATTCCTATTTAGATGATCCGTTGCACCAAATTTAATTTAATAGTAAGTAGATATGATGCAGTGGTATTATGAATTAATTATAAACACTTTTGTACGTACAGGTTTTCTTGCGGTAAGAAAAAAAATATTTGGGGATTTTAATGTATGCATAACATCTCCGTATGATCAATCGGTCGATGTTAACGTATATATTTCGAGAGGCTCAAGTCATCTTAAGAGGATAAACGCATATTATATTATGGTACGATTTATAAAAGTAATAGAGTAAACGGAATGATAATGTATTCCGAACACGTCTACTGCACTTATAGTTTCCACGTGATGGATTCGATTTTTGTATTGAATGAATACTGATTTATATCATAAACGTTTTTACTATCTATTTTACAAGCATTCTCATAGAATATTTAATCGATGTGAAAATAATCGTTTTAACAATACGAAACATATCATTAGTAAATGTGAAGTTTCTATAAAACACTAATTGGATCCAAAATATAATATTTTCACCAGAACATAGAATGTTAACAAGATAAATAGAATGTGAACAAGTTCTATTTAATTTACATGATAACAATTAGAAATCACTATTTGGGAGGATTTTTTTTCATATCACTTTCATAAAACGTATCTGATTAACAAATTGTCCGGAAAATGCATTATTCAGAGCCTAAAGCTTATAACTAGTGGAGTTTTAAAAATCTACAATACCGCAATATAACACGACTTACTAGATATGCAATATCTGTCAACTTTTTAATCATCATTTAACACCAATTCATTTATAATATTATGATATAAGAATGATGACATTCTAAAACAGTAGGTAAGTAGGTTAATTTGGGTGATTGGAACGTATATGGAGTGATGCCAAACATTTTTAACTTATTTAACATAAATTATATGTAGTATAATATTAAAATCGGTTTATACTAAGTATATACCATGCCTATAATGATAATTTGTGTAATTATGTCTATAAATATTTTTATCTGATTACTATCGAAACTTACTTCATTCATTAATATGTTAAATGGTGTGTAGACTATTGTAATACTGCCCACGATGAACAATACTAAAGCTGAAAAAATGTAGAATGAGTTTCCTGGAAAAAAAAATTAAAATAAAATTTCAATATTGGAAAAATTAAAACATGGAAGGTTATTTCTATTAAAAACCTATATTAATATAAATTTTTAATGTTTGTTTTAAATTGTATAGTATATTATTTTGTTTAAAAAGAAGAAGAATATCGACGGTCATAACAACAACAATATGTATGTATATATACATAGATGCACATATTATATAACTTAACTACGATCACGAATCATGTAACAGTCTTTAATCAGCGTGCGTATAAATTAAATTCTTATAAGTATCGATGAAATTGGATAATGACAGTAAAATAGCAATAAAGTTATCCTTTGTTCGCAATATTATTTATCTAAAATATTTTATTCCCAGTGAATAAATAAATATTAATAAGTATCGAGTTATTGACGAATGTTTTATCCTTTGTAAAGTTTTAATATAATCCATGTTGAAATAATCGAATGTCGTGTTTTTAACAAAGACTCTCTCACAGGTCTGCTAAGTAGGTACTCGTCTTCAGTTTATTGTATTTTAATTCTAACATAATATGTACATTTCCTATCATCATTTTTAAACAATAAATCAAATCTATCAATGCGTTATTGAAGTTGATAAAATATATACGTATATGTATTTCCTATATGTATACATAATGAAACTATAAATAAAATAATTGTTCTGGTATTGTTGAGATGCGTGAAAAAACCCCAGTTCCTACATAAAATGCTAATTGTTGAAAACATTTTTTAGTCAAGTACAATCATACAAATATATCCTTTAAAAATATTAGATCTTTGCATTGATATTTTAAAATCTTTAATCAATGATTTCAAATACTTAAATTTATACAAGTGTACATTTTTTTATAAGCCATGTTGTTGTTATAAAAACTCGAAATAATTTCTATATAAATACATTATTTCTAGTACTAACAATTAATTGAATAAAACAGTCTTAACGTTATTTTAATTCAATTTATAAATAATATAAATGCATCATAGTATGTCGTTAATTAATACTAATAAAATTAATAAATACATTACTGCCTATATTATTATGTACTATTTAGATATTTGATTCTAAAATCAATTTAGTAAATTTCATTATTTGTACAGTAATGCATTTATTAACTTTACCTTGATCTTGATCAGATTCATAACAAATTGTTGAACTCAAAGAAACCTGTTTTACCTTTCTATGTATTTTTTATTTAATATTTTCATTTGAAACATAACCAATTCTATGCATAAACCAACAAAATATCATTTCCGCATACATTGTCTCATGAGTTTTTACTATATTGAATAACGGTGTTACGTGAAAAATCGAATTTTTACCGATGCGAAATATGAGCAATAAAATAAAAAGTCTAAAATAATTTTTTTTTTCACAATTTTTCACCATAATTACAATTATTATTTCGTATAGATTATAGTGTATATCTTACCTCTAAGTATAAAATGTGACGTACTGACATTTAACGGATGGAGGGAATTACGTTTCTACGAGTTAAAATGGAGGTTTACCTATGATATTCAGTAGTATTTTAATATATTGTTAATATTAAGATTTTTATTTTCTAGGTAAGCTGTGTCAAGTTTGTTGAATGTATTTTATATAATGTTGAACTTTTGTTGTATAATATCTCGTAATAATACTCTAATAAGTAATAATGTTCGGGGTCAACGGTAGTGCAATGATGCAATGATTTCCAGTTGTTAAGTGAAATGGAAATTAAACGGAGTTTTATGAAGAAAAAAAAATAGTGTATGGTAAGCGCCCTTGACCAACTTGATGGATTATTACAGAAAAAGATGAACGAAAAACATAGGTACCTAATTGAATAAGACAATATGATATTAGCAGTGCTCAATTTAGACGAAGCGATGAAGAAGGGCGAACCGCTCATCCGTCCACTAATTTTCAATATTTTATGGACACTTATAATGATTGTTTTTATCGAAATCCAGTGACGGTACATAATTGTAGATTTTTAACGTATAATTATTTATTACTCTTGTGTGTCTTGTAATTTTTATCTACTTCACTTTATTTCTAAATCTAATTAGTCGTACAAAGAGGTAGAGTAGCTAGATGCAATTCAATCAATACTTTTGGGAGTTCAATGATAGCAAGTAATAGTATGACATACATATTATATAATAATGTACCATATGTAATATGGTATACACACATTTTTATATGAGTGACAAGAATATCGCTGTAATCATACAACACGATTTACTCATAGTTTAATTGTTATTAGAGTAGAACATTTAGATATAACCCCGTGTAATAACGTCATAACAATGTTGTGTTATTATCATAATGATGTATGCAATAAAATAAAATTATTCACTGCCATAAAATTAGCATTATCATGTGAAAAAACTTCATATCACCATATTTTTATCCATTATACCGATTGATACGAGCGTATTACATTTAACAACATAGGCAAATAAAGACAGTATAAAGGTGATGTAGAAATAAGATGTCGTAAGTTATATTATTTAAAAAAAAGTTATATACATGAGAAACGCAGTGATTTCCAATTAAATTACTACACAGGTAACTATTATCATTAATATTAGCCCTACAATGTGTTCCAAATAGTAGTGTCCATTACAAGGCTGTATTTAAGGAACATGTCAGTAAGATGTGCTTTACCGGATAACAATTAATCACGAATTTATATGTAGGTGTTATTGTTCAAAACAATTTATATATATATATATTCATAGTTTTTTCATTGTTTGTTGAGCTAAAGGTCATTCAATTTGACACCTTTAACTGTAAAAATATTAAGTAAGTAATTCAAAACGAGGAAGAGAAAAAATATAAAGTTCTTTTAAATCAACTTCGATGAATATTAGACAGATCATTAAAGGGTTTTTAGGGGGGTAAAATTTTTTTCTTCTCACATTATAACCGATTTCAAAAGCACAATAGGTAGATCTAGTAAAACATAGCAATAATAATTGATCGCGAGGACAATGTTTCTAATATTCATAATATATTTGTCGTGTTTTCTCGAAAGTAAATATTTTATTAGTATTTTTAACAACTATATACCTTTCTATGTAATTATCGTTTGTTGCTTAATAGGTAATATATTATATTTTATCCTGATTTATATTTTATGGGCCTAATTATTATTTTTACAAATAAGATGTGTAACCGTTAAAAAACTTGTTTAATTAGATTTTTCAAACGTTTCAAAATATGTTATAATCAAATAGGTACATAAAATATAATCTGTAGAAATGTATACCTATATATAATTTTCAAAATCAATCGTACGTTTTAATTTCATAGTGTAATATTGTGTTGAGACTTTCCCCTGGATGGAAAAGATAAGATAACTATAAGTATTGTGGTGAATACTGTGGTAAATACGTGTTGTAATTTCGTTTCAAAATGGTTTTGCAATTGCAAGTAATGTAGCAAATATAGTTATTCTAACAATAATGCTGACACTCCTAAATGATTCGGCAAAAAAACATTACAAACAATTATGTTATTGATTATTGACAAGTTTGCTGTAGTTAGCTATACTATTATCATGTATATTATATTATAAATATCCTGTATATAATATATATTTTAAATGAAAATAAATAAATAATAATAATAGGCTTCCAAATAAATTAAACTGGTTTGAAATTTTGTCGAACTACGTGAATAAAGAAATATAATTCGAAATAAATATGATAAAACTTTTTACAAGTATGTGCGTGTTAATCTTAATTGGGTTTTGCATCTAATATCGAATAATTTAAATTATTTTTTACATGAGGCCTCTAGGCGAAAATCCAAATGGATGAACGAACATCCACACCCGATCGCAGTAAATAATAATTTTTAAATGTTGAGCCTAGTATAATAGAATGTGTTTCTTATAAACATAGTATTTTTAGTTACATTTTTGGTATATAAAAAGAATGAATATTTTAATTATTCCCTAGATTCATCGATTTTGCATGAATTACATTCAGATCGTTCTTAAAAAATAACTGAGTAAAAGTTCAATGTAAAATAAGAACGGTGACGTTAAGGAATATTTAAAAATAAGTTGAATCTTAACGAAAAATAAACAATAGCTTTCCTTAAAATCCGTTTAAGAACTTTCTTAAATTGTTCTGTATTTCATATAAAAAGGTTAACGGATTTTCTTATTATAGATTCTCAAAAGTATTATCCACTCGCTCCAAAGGAAAATGATTTATTTTTATGCGACTTTTGTTTGATAGCTAAGATTATAATCTTTGATATGATAATACACAGATAAGCCGTTCTATTGTTAATAATAGCAGCGTGAATTCAGATACTGGAAATCGTAGTCTTATAAAATCAATTAAAAAAAAAAAAAAAAAAAAAAAAATTAAAGATTTATTAATCAATCTATTTTTTATTTAATAGTACTAGAATCATTATCATTAGCTATCTGAAATTTGGAATAAAGTTAGTGTAAACAACTGTCATTCATTTATTGATATGAATATATTTGCGAGAAATAGTAAGGTCAAATTGTGCATCTCATGTTATTAGAATTTTTCAGATTGTATTTATTCATGCGGTCAACGCAATCCAAATAATAAGTCTGAAATCCGGATGTAGGTAATTACTTTAATAAAATTATAAATTTACAATTTTATGATCTAACTCGTTTAACTGAACATTTTTTTTACAAGTCTTACGAAAAACTTAAAAACAAAATATTGATTATAAAAACTAAATACTTTATAATAAAACTCAATAAAATAAAGTACATATTAGTAAACATATTTATGCAGGAAAATCGGCTCATAGTTAATCATTTTAGCTAACTTATTGTAACTATGCACTTTGAAAATATATTTTATACGCAATCAATTCTAAAATATATTGTCATTTGTAAATAATATATTCTGAAGTAATGTTATTGAAATAAATAAATACGTATTTTTAACTTTTGCATTAATTTACGTGAATTTTGTCCACAAATTTAAGATTATTTTATTATATAAA